ATAATTCGTAACACTGCCGTCTGATGCAGAACGGGTCTACCGCGACAGGCCGATCTGCTTTTGAAGGATGGCGGAAGAAATCAACATTATGACGTTTGTGAGGCCTAAAGAGAGCTGGGAAAAAATTCCTAGTATTTGGTGCCTCTAATTTTGCTGAAAGCAAGATGCGACACCTAAATTATTCCAAGTTGATTATATCTAATAGATACAATTTTCCCCGAAAATTTCATTCATTCCAATTATAGCAGAGAGAGAAATAAAAAATGAAAGGAGTCCAGCTAGAATCCGGAGGCTTCATCGATCTCGGACACACAAAGAGCCTGAAGGGTTTTTATTTAAAAATTAATTTACCACATGACCCCGCAGGAGCATGCATCAGTCGGCTTTTCAGAGCTCGGTGCTGTTGCTCGAGCAACAATCGCTGTCTCACGCTGCCTATGAGATTCGATTTCGATGTGGAAATATTCGGCTGATTCAGAGCCAATGGCGCCGAGTCCATTTCAACGGTATCGTTTTTGACATGTTCCAACATTCGCTTGTACTTTGAGGGTGAGAACGCGCTTTCGCGCAAATTTATGAAACAATGTTTAATTAGAATTATCGTGGCGTGGTGGGAGTCTCATCGACATTGGAACAAATAAAAAGTACATTTTCCAGTATGAATATGAAGCATTTCTGAAATGCGGAGTCCAGCCGTTGTGAAATAGCGAAGAGGATTCAGGAAATGAAGCAAATGCACCGAAAGGTAGGGAGCACGGGATACCAAACTCTCGAGGGTTTCCTCCTTCGTTGGGGGAAATAGCGAAGACCGAAGACATACCAGGACTAAAAGAAAATAATGGACGGGACATGAACCCGGAATCTCCTGTCTCCCCGGCCGAGTGTGCTTCCACTACACCACCGCAACCAGGTTGCTCAATCATACCTCTCCATGCCATCCCTAACTTACCACAACGGTAAGAGAGAGGCATTCTACGCTCACCTCCCCGGTATGAGATCTCCGCCCATATATTTCTCGGTATCTCGACCGCTATATCAGTTGGAACCCCGTCCTCTCATCGATCGGCACTCACAAGGCGAGCGACTCCCGAGGGTGAAAACGGGGGGATCCCACCTCTATGGAACAGGAGCGCTTACTCTTGGGTAGGACAGTAAAACGTCGGGGGCGTCGTAACCATTCGGTTTATCTCTCCCTATTTGTCACTCACAGGCTTACTTAAAAAGTGGTGGAGATGTACTTGAGGGACGACACGCACATGGTCGCGATCGATCCTGGATACGAGAGCCACTCACTAAAAAGTCAGTTTCGTAGGCGTGAAACCCCCTTGGGGGGAGATGGACAAAGCGCATTATGTCCGAGCAGCTGCTGCGCAGTGCGGTGAAACGAACATTGCACTCAATAGGGCTTACTGGTTTCTCCGAGAACCTATTGTGCCTGCTATGTCGGGGCTGTTTTCCTGCGAGTTAGTATTTAGAAGAAATTTTGGTTGAAAAATCAAGGGGAAATCCCATAGGAGTGAATGGCGACTAGGCGCTATGAGCCCAACAAGTATGGCATCCAATTGCAGCACGCATGTCTATACTGTTCCTTCGGATGCGCCACCTCCAGTTATTTCTTAGCTCAGTGGCTCTCCCGTAGCCATAGTAACGGGTACACGCAGCGTGGCATGAGGCCATTAACGTTCGGAAACGTGCGCGGCGGGTTGCGATGTGTGTAGCTTCACGCCTCCAATAAAAGGTCACATACCACTGTCCTACGAGGCGACGATTTAAGGTAACGCCTTCATCTTTGGGTTGCCCTTCGTCTTCGCTCGGCGTCAGTTCCCGTCATTCGCAATGACGATTAACGAAGTGCAGATGCAGACAGAGAAATTAGGGGTTCTCTTGCCGCGTCCTGTCTTCTCACATGGCCAACCAGGGGGGCAGGGGAGGAGTGTGGACACCGCCTCCCATGGTATTGTGCGTATTCTGTCCCTTTAAACACTTCCGTGCTTTTGCACGAGCTACCTACTAGTCTATATGATAAAATCCACTGTGGTCCGTGGTAGCGGCGGTGGTACGTGGCATGCGCGTGCACACACTTGACATACGCGTACGCTCTGCGCGATCGGGTGTGCTCTCCCTATACTGTAGTATTCTGTCTGCCTCTTGGTGTACGTCTCCCTCTCTTGCGCTCGCATTTTTATTTCTGGCCGTTGGGACTGTCGGATCTTTTCTAGAGAACGTAATAGCCCGGGGATGGGGATAGAGTTCGGATGACATAAGACAACGAAAACAAAAGGACGGACGCGGAGTGGATCGAATCCAGTTCCTCCGGTTTGCCGGTCGATCGTACTACCACTACACCAACGAACCCAAACCTTTCGGTTCTATCCCTCCATGCCATCCCTAACATAACAACAGGAGAGAGAGGCATTCTATGCACACCTCCCGCTTTCGACTTCGAGGGGTCCGATATCGACTTTTAAGCGGAGACGTGTAAAACGTCCCAGCGTATTACACTTGGAGTCCTCTTTCGTCTCTGGAGGTAGGATGACTTCCTCGCCGGTATGAGATCTCCGCCCATATATTTCTCGGGATTCCGACCCCTTTATCGATCGAAACCCCATCCTCTTATTCCTCACAAGGAGTGACTCCCGAGAGCGAAAACGGCGGGATCCCACCTGTATATCACAGGAGCACTTAATCTTGGATCGGAAAGGCGACGTCGGCGGCGTCGTTACCATCTCTCATTCATTCTCTATCTCCAATTTCTCGAATGGACCTCAAGTTCCGGGTCTGCCTTCGACGAGATTGCTTGGCCTACGAAGGTGATGACGTCACGCCGCCCTTGCATCATCACAGTCGACCAATTTTACACCCAGTCTACGGCATGAAGTCAAACGAACTTTAGTTCCTTTGACAAAGTGGACGTTCGAAGGCAAACCTAAAGGAAACCTAGGGCGATCGCGAGGTTGAGGTGTTGGCAGACCTTTGCAGGGCATCTTTCCGTGTTCAGCAGGGCTGCGCCACCATTCCCGCGATACCTGCTCTATTACTTCGCCAATGCCCGCCGCAGCCTCTCTTTAAACTCTATGAATCGCCGACGAGGGCGGGGGTCTGGGTACCGCCTCTCATACATTCATAGCCTTTAAATACGTCCGTGGATTTGCACGGGCTACTTACTCGTAATTTATTATGTACCAACTACGGTCAGGTTGCTCCTGCTCTGGTGATATCAAAGAAAATACGCATGTCATCAACATGAAACTTGTATTAGCCGTAAATTATGAAGGATTTAATAAAATGTTCATTCATGCATCACCAAACTTCCGGCATGACAAGCGATGACTCACATTGCGTCGTTTAAATGCATTTTTCTTGCCCATTAAGATAAATACCCAACTTTATTAAAATGTACCTTATTGGAACATCCATGAATTTATTACTTTTGAGTCCGAACATACTAAATATTTATTCCATAAGGCATCATCCGCCATTTAAAAAAGAAACAAAAAGTGACAATTTAACTTTTATGTTCCCGCCATGGACACTAGGACATAAGTAGGACCGAGGAAAAACGTTCCCAATTGGGCTTTATTCTCATTTTTAAAGAAATACCATAAATGTATTTCTAGCTATAAGAAAAAAACTGCCACCATTACAATGTTTTCCTGGAATAGGGGGCGAGGGGTGGAAGGAGATTCTTTTCTCTCTCGCAACGTTTTTCATTGAGGTTTCTCTCCATACTGTTCCTTTCCTAACAGACATATGGCAGTCGTTTTACACGTGGGAAAACATTTACGGAACCCCACCCCTTCCCAAAACAGCCACCCAAGGTTTTACCTCAAAAGTAGAAGTTCTCTGAAACCCCAAACCCTGAATCTGTTCTTGAATAAAATATCAATTTTTCTATCTCATTTGCAACACACTCAGAATTTACTCAGAACATACTCGGGCACTCACTCCCACTTTTGGGAGTGGGAGGAATGGTTTTTCTCTAACTCTGAGGGAGCAAGTCTGAAGCGCTGTTAGTCCTGGTTTTACCTCACTGTGGTCACTCGTCTGCGTGCCGTCACTCGCAGAAGAGGAACGTGGGAGGCAGGGCGGCGGATTCTGCAGCTTCACAGCGCCCTCGCTCTGTGAAGCAATTTCGACTTCACCCCAGGAACGCCATGCTGCATCGTCCTCCATGCTCGTCGAACTTCGCTCCGAGTGATTTCCTCTTTCTCCCTAAGCTGAAGAGTGTGCTGAATGGAAGGAGATTTCAGGATATTGAAAGCAGTTTTACAGGTGCGACGCGAGTGCCGCTGGCGATTCTAAATGATGGGTGTCGGCGATGCTTCCAGCTGTTGAAGATACAGCAGAAAATTTTTATAAATGCGTGCATGAGTACCCGAAAACAATTCGGCACAACGCCTTAAAATAAATATCAGCCTCGGAACTGCATGACCAGAGCTCGTAGACGTCTAAGTGCCTGTTGAAAAAAGAAAATTCATGGTAGGTACCTCTGCCGTCAATTCACTCCCATTCTAGAACATTTCAGAAAGCAGTCAAGGCGTAGTCTTACACCGGAAATTAAACGGCTTAAATCCTAATTTCGAAACTCCGTATGAAAATCAGCCGACCTTGCTCCACATTTGATTTCCTTCAGGTCATTGCCCCTGAACTTCCCTCGATTCCTTCCCCGTCTTGGGAAAATAACACGGATGAAGAAGAGTCCACCATCAGCAGTGGATAGTAGGCGTCTGGGACTGATACCCACTTCATTTTTGTCGTCCGCATCATGCAGCCGACATTGTTCTTTGCGACAGACTATATCCGGAAATGCAGAATCGGAACGGGTCTGCAAGAATGGCGCCAATCAGGGCGCCTGCTGTTGACTGCGTGGCTATTACTCAAATGCGTTTTGAAATTGAGTAGTCATGCGCCGAACTTTCGGACTCTCCTTACTATCATGCCAACCACCAGACCGGTACAGGTGGGCCAGAGGGTTGCAATAAAACCAGTATGAAGACCAGTAAGTGAGTAACGAATTTATTGTGACAATAGTAAAATGCATGCCTCACGTACAGGATCTCTCAAAAAGCAGACAGATTTGTTGGGGACCGTGTTAATGTTAGGGGCAGGAACGATGAGTACCTACGAAAGTGGCAGTGCAATTTCCCCTTCGGTCTTTTTGGACGTTTTTTGCAATTTTCCCTGAAAATTTTCAAACTCCAGCGAAGAGAGAGAGAGAGAGAGAGACAGGGATAATTTGAAAACAAAAAGTCTATTCTGAGAAACGCTCCTTTCATTTCTCTCTCGTGAGGCCGAATCACAATCAAACTTTTCATTTTTTCGTACTAGCGACAAGAATATATTCATAAACAGGAAAGTCTACTTCCTCTTTCCTGGCATTTCCTACAAGTTTTTGCATTCGGCGTGAATATATACTATCATGAACCTTTCCAGCCAGTTCTATCGTCTTATTAAGACGGCACGAAACAATAAGTTCGAGAAAAACTCCATTTTTTTGTACTAACTACTAAATCGAATGTCGTGATCTCGTTGGTGAGCAGCTTTCACGGTTGCAATCCTTCATCCTTCGGGCAGTTTTCCTCAATTTCCCTCAATCAAACAATTTTTCTTTCGCAGATCTTTCTCTCCCTCTCGGTGAAACCCGATGGATCCGGTTGCTCGAGACACGTCATGCTATTCTCGCATTCTGAAAAGCCTCAATAATGATTTTAAAAAAAACCTCGGAAATTTAGGATTGAGTAAAACCGTCATCCTCAACAAAGTTAGTGATGCAAGGGAATTTTGAAATGATGGCAGAAGAACTTTGATATTTCCTTTGAAAACCGCTGGCAGCTCCTATTACTATTTTCGATCCACAGGAGCAATGCCGCCTGTAGCATGGGTGAAGTGAATCCATGGGTTGTGGTCGGAATTAGTCAATACTGTTAGCGTCGGTGGTTGCTAGAGTCTCTTTCGAACTCGGAGTCTTTGTCTTGCAACAATATTCCTGCTTTTCGCTGCACTTCGTTTCCTTCTTGACTGTTTCTGGGTCACACGAGTCAACATCGTTCGGGGATACACATTCGTTGGGACAAGGCGGCAATGCAGGCGGAATTACCACGGAGGCCATATCGATGGCGCAGCAGATTCGCTTACCGTTGCATTCCGTTTTTTGGACTTCCGACCCAGGTTTGCACATTTTTCTGAGGCCAGGATCAAGGCACCCGTGAGATGAAGGGCAAGGTAGCACCTCGACCGGACTGGGCAAAGGCACCAGCTTACGGCGGATGGTGGAGGGCCGGCAGCATACTTGCGTATACTTTGGACAGGCAAAGTGGATGACAGAGCCTGGATCACAGACGGCCACATTTGCTTCTACGCAGGAGTATCCATCAGTGTCAGGACATAGGCAGACTTCTTCATTTGCTTCTCCATTTTCTTTCACTTCTCCATTCGTTTCTTCACCTGTCGTTGAACCACTTGTCTTTGCCGTGCCTGAGGACCGGCAGCAAGCTTGATCGGGCTCAGAACATATGTGGCGAGTAACAGTGCCCAGACCTCCTGGGGCAGGACAAGAACAAACTCTCGGCCTTGCTGTTCTTGGGGTCGTATTTCTTGGAATTACCAGTTTGCCACAAGCTTCCTCTGTGATGCACTTGTTTTCTTTTGTGGGAAATATTTCCCCAGCTTTACAGTGAGATTGGGGCGGACCACTGACGCAATCGTATGGACATGTACGACAATTCTTTACGGATGGCATCTGCTCCAGGTTTTTAAAATCGGTTCCATCCTCACATGTCCCCTTATAGTTTCTCAATAAGTCATAGGAAAATGCCAACCAAGTCAAGCCGCAATCACACTTGACCGGATTCGCTGTAAGAGAGAAACAACAAATAATGTAAACATTTGATGCGGTGTGGAAGGGGTCAATGGAACTTACTTTCGAGATACAAGCACCCCTCTCCCTCCGACATGACCTCCAGCATGGGCCGGATGATGGATTCGTCTAAGACCCTGAACCTATTCCAGCTGAGGATAACCGTGGTGTCAGGCGTGAGACCTGGAATGTATATCGTAAAGAGTAAATATTTTGCGTCTGAAAGGCAAATATGGTTGAAAATTGATCAGACATTCTCGATAAAAGCTCTGGCAGTTTACAGGAGAAAGGACGAACGCTGAAGTCTCGACAGAACCTGAAGAACTCTCTTCGATCTGTAACCACAGCAGGAATTCCCAGTCGCATTCTTAGATGGCATTTCATCCCTTCAATTACTTCCATCGAAGCATTTTTATAGCATGTTCCGACCTTTCAACTCCGCGGGAGTCAATCGTATTTTATCGAACATTATTCATAATGATTGCGCTTTCATCATGCTAGGGTAACTTCCAGTTTAGTCAACTTAACTTTTTGGCAGTTTGAAGCAATTCGTGCTGCAGCCCGTCAAAAATGCTTGCTCATAAGACATGAAATGAGATTCCAACCTTTTCTGCAGTTAAAAAAAATAATCCTAAAGGTTGCCACATACGCATAGGGAGGGGGAACAACACCTTAGGTAACCTGTCCATTAAGTTAAACAAGTTGTTATAAATTCATTTAAGTCTCACTACCTTTATCATACTTTCTTCATCCAAAGGTATGGGGACCCTTTTTTTCATCTATACGGTGATGCATGGAGCATTCAAATCATACTGTAGTACTCTCAAAACGCACTCAATGTAGGTTATTCAATTCCAAACGGGCAAATGCATAAAACGGTGGAGCGTTTTATATCCAGGGAGAGAATTTCTAAAAAAAAAAAGGAATAAGGAAAGTTTTCAATGCAAAAAATTGCAACGCAAACATGTAGAACGCATGGAATGATTCAATGACTATTGAATATTTGAACTATTTGATGCATTTAGATGCCAGACATGCCGAGAGCGTCACTCGCGAATTCATGCGGATTCAATTCAAATGAGTAAGCGAAATATATTACCCGTCATGGCGGCCCGTTCTAATTTCGATATCCCGTTCTCCTTCAGCCACACTTGCCTCAGGGCGCTGCTGCGGAAATCCATCAGCCCGCTCCGAAGAACGGGTCCGAGATTGCATCCGGAACACCAAAATTTCTCGAGACTCCCCAAGGTCCTGATCACTTCGGTGGGGAACTTCATCGTGGGATTATAACCTGCGTTGCGATAAATGCGGCTGTGAAATAGCGGCAATCCAACGTTGTCTCTCAATTTAAAATTGCCAGTAAGAAAGACAAATTCACATGCATGAATGTTCCATTTTCCATCAGTCATTTGAAGAACATAATTATTCCGCACACATAGAAACAATTATTTTCCTAGAATTGCCTAAGAGATTATTTGTGTCTTTGATCGGGCAGAATTTGGCGTGACACCGATCGCTTCATCTTTCTACAGCTGCCTTCATTATGTCGCAGACTCTCATAAAGTCCCACTTAAATATTGGTATATGGTACGTGGTACGGCTAGCCTCTTTCTCCTCTCATTAATGTTTGATTTGTGATACAGAATAAAGATGCAAAAATAAGGCCAACCCGGGATCAAATATTGAGCTGCAACAAAATTGCATACGTAGAGGTTGTCCATCACCATTGCGAGAATTGAATGATCATGAATATTTCTGAAACCTATGCAGGGATGTACAAATATCGTCAAATGCGATATCACCGAAGAGGGAAATAGATACAAAAATTAAATGGTTATATATCATATTGATACACTGGGAGGCGTTTACTCACTCAGGTAGAGTTCTCTGAGGTTCGGAGTCGCCCATCCAGGCCCACCCACATTTGCCAAGTTATTGTACGGGAGGTTCAGAATCTCCAGGCTATCACTTTGGATTGCAGGTACCGAGGTCAAAGAATTGTTCCAGAGGGAAAGTTCTTTGAGACGGGAGAATTGTGGCAAAATGTTGAACGGGAAACTCTCCAGGTCACTGAATCGAATCGACACGGTCTCGAGGCTATCCTTCGAAGGGAGGAGAGCGGAAGGATGGATCCTCCTCAAGGCTGTGTAGTTGACCCATATGTCCTGGAAGGAGAGATCCCGAAAGACTCCTTCTGGGAGCTCTTGAACCTCTGCATTGTCCATTAAAACGAATTGCCTGGAAGGAGAAACAATGGGAATGGTGTAATCCACGACAGTCAACCGGATAATCTTAGGTACATGTTACAGTCTATCTAGGGATATCTAGGGTAGGCCAAATAAAAAAAATGTCTGGTCACAGAATTTAAAATATATTCAGCTAATGCTTTAAGGTAGAAAGAAACAGGAAGTTTTAATGGCTTGCGAAGTAAAGCCACATGTCCCGTTTTGAGATAAATGGCGAAATAGCAAGGGGCGCCCCCAAGAGAACCAAAACATAGCTCATGATTTCCTTTTAGCACGGAACTGACCATGGCCCTCCTCCGCTTTCACTTTTCCTTCTTCGAAGGAAAATCTCATTTGCAGGTATTTCCTTGATATTCGAGAGAAGATGAGAAATGAGGAAAACTCAATGAGCTCTACAAATTTGAAGATTTTTCATGGAGAAAGGAAATTGGAGTTGGCGATTTTAAATACATAAAAACAACGGAGACAATTTGTTCAGGCTCCATTTTCTGACAGAAATCACTATCTATTGGAAAGGGTTTTTAATGAATCCTCCCTTCTTTTGCTTTGTAATCTGGAAATTGTGCGAATAGTTTTCTATAAAAGACTTTTAGACTGAAGACTTCTCCAAGGAATTAAAAATATATAACTCCAGTTCTCATCCTGTGCACGATCTAAATTATTTAGATTGCATTGAGACTATTGTCTCATTTCTTGGCACCAGTAGCATCGATCGGAGAAACATTGGCAGCTTCATAAATTAAGCAGATAGACTTGCACTGAAATGAAGCACAGAGGTTTAACGTGGAGCAACAAATTCCACGCAAGAGGAGTTTTGCTTTCCGCTATCAGAGAAGTCTCTTCACACTTCGAATTACGAACGATCAAGTGACGATTCGAGGATGGGTCCCGAGGCGAGGGACCTTGAATTCTAAAGAGCTTTCAACGGACTGTGGGTCAAGGGCCCAGGCCCATACTGGGGACGCAAGGCCATTCATACATTATGCATGACGACAGAATGCAAAGAATGGGGGGGGGGGTGACGCGTCTAAAAGCATATCAGCTCCTGAGACCCGTAAGCGGCAACAGGGAAAAGAGCCCTCCACCACCACCTTTCTAGAATGTTATCCTTCATTTTCTTTCATCTCGGTTGGTAACGGCTTCATTGATATAATATATTAAATTCTTTTAATGCCCAAGCAGCCCGATATAGCATCAGTATTTATAACTTCACCATCCACGTTATAACATCAAGACGAGTGCAACGGTTTTCCATTTTCTTTGCTCCATATTCGTTTTCACGTTCGATCGGGGAGAAAAATCTTCGACTGCATACCTCCAGCTCCCTAGGAGAGCTTCAGAAAAATGACAATGGAAACGTGAATGAGGACTTTTCCTGAAAAGGAGACATGATGTTGTATCTGACCATGGTCGTTGACCGTCGTGGCCAACGAGGATGGAACATATTATTGTATTCTTCGACATTTTCACGAGGCACTTTCGCGACTGATGTTGAGGCATCGTCTAGCCTCAAACGTATTATTTACAATAGAATGCGATGGTCTCATGCTACAGCAGTAGCGACACATTTTTGGGCGCCAATCCGACGGCTCCAACTTGCAGCATGATGCCAGAAGTGATAAATCTAATTTTTTATTTAAATACTCTCACTCACCAGAGCTGATTCGTAGGCCAGTTTCCCTTTCTGAATGCGGATGCGATCTCCGCACCCGACCTGGCCCGCGAACAATCCACCCTGACTTCGCCTTTCGAGTATTTAGTACAGATGCAGGGACGTATATCTTCTGTGGGGCATTCCTGCTCCGTTTGCCCAGCCACCAAGGTGAGGATACCCGAGAGGAATATCAATGAGAGGATCATAGTGGGAGGAGGTCTGAACGCTAATGGAGGCTCGTGGGAAGGTCTGGGGGCTTGAGAAGTCCTTTGTTCCGAGATGAATGCTGGGGATCCTCAGGCAGGTGCCGAAGAACCCTGTTCAAACAAAAGAAGGCTCTCATGCATGAGAGCAATAAAGGCAGAATATATAATGTAATTTATGCGAGGGCGACTTATTTAAGCATTCGAAAAGTGCGAATAAATACATTGAGGTTTGATGAAATAACACCGAAATATAAAGCCTTGTCTTCAGGCTCTCAATTTTTGCAGTATTTTTCGCAGTCATTTGCCGGTCATTATCCTGAAAGGTAAATAATAACATATATATTGCGCAATTTCTGCCTGACACTTCAACGTCATCCTGAGGATTGTTGCTTGATGAGAGCCTGGGATACCGTGTCCCTCGGCGAAAACAATTTTTCGCTTCGAATTATCACATTTTTACCTCTCAAAAGTATCGTTTCGCTCGTCCGAAAAATAATCCTTCAGATACCACTTATTACTCTATAATAGGTTATTTTTAGCCCAAGACCGATGCAGAGGGAGAGATGTAAAGATGACCCTCTCAAGCGGGAGGAAAGACTTAGTTCACGACGAAAGAAGCTAGAAGAGAGGAATTCACAAGTGGGTCACTTCATATTCCTTTTATTTTATTATTATCGCTATTCAATACGAGGGGGAAAAAATCGGAACCGTATTCGTCAGAAAGGAAAATTTTTAGAGAGGCACCCGCAAAGCTAGCGAGCACCCACCTAAGCACTTACTTAATCCTAACCCCACGGTCTTTTTTGGACATTTTCCTGCGCTACTGGAAATGGAAAAGAGGAAAAATGGACCCAGTTGCATGGCGTCTTGAATATAACAGTTCAACTTGAAGGACGGCTGAACAGGAAATGATGATGACCCAGCAAATAAATTCCATAAGCCAAATTGCTCACCATACAGTCAGCACGTGAACAGACAGAGATCCCGACGGAGCAGGGATAGGAGGAGACTAAGCCTGGCTCGAGGCAGGCAAAAGACAGAACGAAGGAGAGGCTTCTCTCTCCCTTTTCAGGCTGCATCGAACTGCCCCCCCCGGGGTTAGGCGACGGACTCTTCCGTTCTCTCTTAACACGTTGACCGACTCGGCGATGCTGGCATATTGATTTTCCAGTTCGGTGAGGCGCACCGGTGCTCCTCGTGGAGGTCAACCTCTTAAGGACGCATTATTCCACGGGACAGAAGATGATGAACTTCATTCCAGGGATGACAATCGTTACGATTACGTTTTTATCAAATGCATTCATCTATCCATCAGTCCATTAGGGTTACCCTGTGCCCACCTTCCATTTTCGGATTGCCAAGAACATTGAGGAAAGGGAATGAAATCGCTTCCTTTACGTGGAACGTTTTCATCATTATTTTTTTGTTGTTTTCGTGCATTATTTCACTATGGAATATGACGGAATTTAATTACTATATTGTGCAATGTCAGGACTGAAATAGTTAGGCCAAACATGGTTGCAGTTCAAAGTCTTCGATATAACTAGAAGAGACGGGAAATAACACGACGCTAACTCAGTTGTCAAAAACGTCGACGAACGTCAAAATCCCACTGCGGCGCGTTATTGCCCACGTAGGGCAAAACCGGTTTCAACACCAGTGAACCTGGTGGGCAATTCTGTAACGTGACACTTTCCCGCTGTATAAAAAACTGAAAACCTCAATCAGTGCCCTGTCTTTATAAAAATCAGCAAGACGGACGGGGCAATCAGCAAGTGCTTAATCAATAAGTAGCAATATGAGGGAATTAACGGCACAAAGTCAGGCGGGATGGGCTTGTGAGTGGAATGCCAGGAACAATTATAAATTATGATAGAGCAAATTATTTTTCAACATTGGAAATCGAGAGTATGATAACTTCATTATCTTGAAATAAAGTAAATGCAAAATGATAATGTACGGCATATGTTAGAGGTTCTTCCCCTTTTAAAGACCCCCCCCCACTTTTCATCGCAGAAAAAAAAAATACCGATAGAAAATACTAAATACGGCCTTCAATTGTCATGGGGAATCTCGGAGTCGCCTTCTTTCGCCTTGTTCGGTTGGGATTTTTTTTTTCTACTTCATACCTGGGCTCCTGGTAAATGAGAAAATGGGAAGGAATATTATCCATCATTGCGGAATGGAATAGGTAATGGTTGCGGAATTCCCAGAATAGTGTTGCGGCTTTAGCGGAACGAGATTAGGAGTTAGCCGAATGCTCATCGGGAAAGGATGATCGCGAGAAAATCCAGCCCTCAAAATTGCAATGACTTGCGTCATTCCGTGCTTCGAGTCGCCCGATTCGCCTTTCCCTCGAATTTCGTCGACGGCATGATGCAATATGATCCGGCACCTCCGGCGAGACAAGGGAACAAATAGTTGGGATCCAAAAAGTCGTTGCCGAAATCCAGGATTTCCCCAGTCTGTAACTGCGGGAAGGGGCCACGGATATTGCGGGATAATCGACGTAATCAGCACCTCTGGATCTGGAATCCAGGCCAGAAATGAAATATAATTATCAGAATGGTATGCACGGAGAGAAGGGTTAGATTTTACGCATATTATTCAATTGAGTATTTTCTTTTTATCGAAGTTTCGGTTCACCTTTTGCGCTTACACTTCTGAACGCTTTCGAGCATTTTTGGCATTTTTGGCATTTCCAGGCATTTTAGACACGATTGAAAATTTTAAAATAACTTCTTAATAATTCACATTTGGACGATTTGTTAATCGACACCGAGCTCACCTTTCTTTCACGTGCAGTTCTCTTGGAATAAGCGTGACTGGTTCCAGTCAGAAATGGACTGTTTGCAAACTCCTAGAGCGGGGCAGTACTAACCAGTACTAACCAGTACCAAACCGGCTCGAGAGAATGTGGTTCCACCGGAACGGGAAGGATTCCGACCTGCGAGGAGCTGTTGGCACCGACGACACGCGTCGAAGCTGGATTTCAAATGAAATCGGCCTGCGGCCTTCGGCGATCTGATATCGGCCGAAGCTGTTCGATCTGCTTCGTCGTAAGCGCGTGGTGCGACTCATGGAGTCCTTGCTCGCCGACCGGTCCTTCCGTGTCCATCTCGGCGGAGGATTGAGGAAAAAACAGCGCCTCGAGAATGGTCTCCCTCAAGGTTCAGTTCTGCGCCCGTCTCTATTCAATCTGTACATCGGCGACGTACCGACGGCGCGAGCCGTAAATTTATGCACGCCGACGACATGGCCATTGCGTCACAAGCATCGATCATCGAGGATGCCGAAAGACAGTCGAATGCTGACTCGAAAACCTTGGATGAGTGTTTCCGTCATTCGCGCCTGAAGCCGAACCCATCCAAGATCGTCTCGTGTGCCTTCCATCTTTCGAACGAGGACGTTAAGAAGACGCGGGCGATCGGCTTCTGCGGTGAACCGATGAAGCATGACCCCTCGCACCCTCGCTGTCTGGGGATCGCACTGGACCGGACTCTCACCTACCAACAGCACCTCAAACCGGTGAGCGACAAAACGAGGAGCCGCGTCAACATCATCCGTAAGCTAGCTGGAACAAGATGGGGATGCGATGCCCGAACCCTCCGAACAGCGACTCTGGCTTTGGTGCACTCCACAGCCGAGTACTGCTCGCCAGTGTGGGCCCGAAGCTCGCACAGCCACCCGGTCGACGCGCGGCTCCACGCATCCATGCGCGCCATCAGCGGTAGGTAGAGGTTAAGAACGAGAGCCTCATATTGGACCCATGGCGGATGAAAGACTCACCACCGTGGCAACGCTCACACTACGGAGCACACTGTCGATGACTGCCCCCACATGCTCCTTCCGTGGCGGCACTGCCGAATTGCATCGTGCAGCATCGGAAGCCACCGACTGGATCTCAGCACTCCCGATTATCTTATGATTTATCTCTCACTGTGCGAGCTCAAAGTCGTTATTTTCCATACGAAAAAAGATTTATAATAAATTTGGATGAAAGAGCAAAATTGATCATTCTGAAAGGCCAGTGCCACCACGAAACTCAATCTCACACTAATGTACAAATATGCAACATTTATTGCAAGTTTTAGCATATTAGCAGATTCATTTTGCTCAAATGGACCGCATGCGAATAAATGAAAAAGGCGATTGCATATTCTGTAAAAAAAAAAATAGAATGTCAATATTTTCAAGTAGTTCGATAGGAGGTCACAATTCCATCCCCTTTTAAAATGCAATTCTAGCAAGGTTTGCAAAATGCTACCCTCAGTGCATAGATTCGCTTCCGCATATTTGAGGCTCCCTTTACCTTGGTAGGGCGAACACATCGTTTTTGGAGTGAGAGAATTTCATTCTGATTTTTTTTCTCCTTCCCCCCTTTCCTTCACACTTTCATTAGAGATTTTGTCAGGAGATATCCTCATTAAAAAAAATTATATATATATATATATATTTTTTTTTTTAACTCGGAAAGAAGATACGTGGCCTTCCCGTTGTTGACGATGCACCATTTCGCTGTACATGAAATTAGTTGTACTTTATTTAGGCTTAACGTGCATCTGCAGTCTTGTATCCCTCGGTTGCTGGATATCGTACTGGAGCTATGACGGATTCATGACTGCTCTTGCTTTTTTTTATCGGTGCCTGGATCTTCTGTTCCTCGATGCACCATGCTTTTTGTGCGGAATTCATAGGAAAAGGTGAGAATGAAATATTGGCAGGGGATTTGTTAGAACGTGACCAAACGTTAGAACGATTCCCCCGGAGAGGGAAGAGGCGAGGAGAGGACGGAGGCAGCAGAAGAAAGGGGAAAACCTTCACGCATCGGTTTTCACGCTAATTTAGGCCTGCACTGCCCCGGGCCGTATGTACAAGGGGCAAGGGCCATCTCGACGCTCACTGGCGCGAGGGAACGGAGTTTGTTTTGCCTTTCCATTTTCCTACGAGAGGCATTACACTCTTCTCGAGGCATACCGATAAGGCTTAAATACGATATTAAAATCATTTTGTTGAATGCTGAGTGCTAAAACTCTTATGGTCAAAGCAGCCTATGTTCAGCACCTGCGTGCGCGGTCACGTTCACCACTTTCTGAAGGGAACAAAAAGTAGAATTTGAGTGGTAGTCAATCTCTTTTTTCATGCAACGAACATTTTTCCTTTGCTGAAATATGAAACTCTTCAATGGTCCACCCTGTTATTTTATGGAACGTGGATGTGAAGGTTATAATTATTTATTATTATTTTAGATGTGATCTTCCAAATGCTTCGGCTTTCAACATTGTTTCTATTGTTGCTTGTGTGCATAATATACTGAAACCGAAACACCTCCTCACTTCACGACGCAGGTGAGGCCAGAGACTGTTAATTTCATTCCAGTCACGGAGAAGAAACGACAAAAGAGATACGCCCACGGACACGGAACCTTGGAGTCCTCGCCCTTGAGCCCGGATCCCCTCCCTCCCCCTTCCTCTCTTCCGTCTCTTCCGCAACCGCATCCATATACGCCACGAGACTCAGTCCCGCTGTCAAATCCCTCAAGGCTATCGGTCCGAAGCCTATAATGGCAATTCCCTGACTTATTTATTCGAAAAGGACGGCAATACTTTTAGCAAAAATTAATTGCAGTCCCTTGATGAGTTGAAGCAGGCCGCATGTTCATCATATGATGCTCAGACTGCCCGCATAATAACGTTTCTTCAATTGGCCATTGATAATCCTACTCGACCAAGAAGGTCCAGTTGGGCAAGATCGCTGAATGGAAGGAGCCGCCGCCTTGGTAACATGAACATTGAATTAATTAGGAGTTAAATGAGGTAGTATGTGACTCCAAAAATGCTATGCTTTCACTGTGATTTAATTTATGGCCACGTAAAGAATAACCTGAATGCCCCGCAGGTACAAAGTCTCGTAATTTTCATTATGATAAGGGAATGTGGTATAATAATTATTTAATTATGGATACCACATGCGCATCACGACTGAATACATTATTGAAATCGATCACAATCATGATCTTTAACGTAAAGAAGCATCTCTGACCACAAAGAAGAATGTGCAGTATGCAAAATATATTTAAACCAGCCGACCCGCATAAGATTTCCACAAACTCTTAGGCAAGGAATCCCGGAATCATTCGGGACCTTTAAACTCATCGGCCCTCTCTCCCAACCTGTAAACGTCCCTATGCACAATCCTTGGAGTCCCCTTTCATCCCGCTGAGGGATGGATGATTTCCTGGACGGGATGAGATCTTCGCCCTTACGCTTATCGGAATCTCCATCACTTTTCAAGCAAGCCTATGAGTGAAATATATGAATATGGAAACGGGATAGTGACGACACGACCGGCGGCATCTTTGTGATCCAAGGACAAACCTTTTTGTTCTATCCCACCCAGATGGAATCTCGCCCCTTTCACACTCGGGAGTTACTCTCCATCGCGCGGTGGAAAACGGGACTCCGAGTGTCGTGCATGGGTTTTTCCGCTCGAGAGTTCATATCGAGGTGTAAACATTTCTCATTCGGAGCGCAAGACGTACAATGACTCTCTCTTCCATTCTGAGAACGCAAGGGGTCGGAGAGAGCATGGGAGCGTGAGCCTGGCACTCCGATCCGTAGGAAGTCTTCAGTGAACTGTTTTCTTCGGTGAAATGTTTCTCGGGTATTCCCGAGCTGTCGGCAGCACTCACAACGGTATGAGCAGCAGCCCATCCATCAAGTTCTCCAGAATGACCGGTGGAACATTTTCACGAAATCCAGGTCGGCGTAGGCTAATCGCGTGGCATTTTCGGATATTCACGAGTTCAGTCGGCGGCCGTATCAGTGCTCCACGCAGCAGTCCTCTCCCCCACCCTTTCCCAAGGGGGTTTTTCACGCCTACGACGCGGACTTTTAACGCATAGCACTCGTATCCAGTGTCGATCGCGACCCTGTGCGTATCGTCGGTAAAGTCGTATCTCCACCAATACACATGAAGGCCTGTGAGTAAAAGACATGGATAGAAAAACTAGATGGTAATTACGCGGCCGACGTTGTTTTTCCGATCCAATGGTAAGCGCTCTTGTTCCATACAGGTGGGAATCCGCCGCTTTAACCGTCGAGTTTTTCCGCTGATTCCAAAAACGTACATGATGAGGGGTTTTATGAACATGCTGACATTTTGCAAATGACTGAATATGCCAAAAATTGGCAAATTTGACATAGCTTCATTTTATTCGGTATCGCTTCGAGGAGAAAAGTATATGAAATATATTGAATATTCTAGTGTTTCTAAAGAACATTGGTGTTTGCTGCTTTCGGTTTAGGTCGAAAAGTTTACGGCCCACATGTGCATGATGTGGTGCCCCAATTTTCCAATTTCACAAAATATAACGAATGATTGAGCCAAATCGGCTAATATCCGAAGCAAAACTTTTGTATTCTTTCTTTTTGCCATTAGGTGTACCACATGAAAAATGTATGTCAATATTGGAGGTGGTCATGATCCGGCCTCAGCCAAAAAAAACTCGGTCCTCAAAGGGTCAAGGAGTGACTTTAGGCTCTATAGCTTCACTGGCGCTGCGGAATCCTTTTACAAACGGAGGGAAACAAGCTGTTCTGCCCTTTAATTCAATTGTGGCAAATCCCCGTCTATTCTCGTGATAGCCTCTCTTTCTCAGGCTTTGTCAAAGCGTTTCACTATGCGGCACATTGAGCCCTGAAACGTCTGTTTTTTATTAGTTCAGTGGATACTAGCTTGGACTGAGATCAATTATTCTGGAAGGTTGCCCCGATTACGGCATTTATGCTCCTTGGACGACGAAAAAAACGGTTAATGGCAGTTTAATGCAAATTGCATGCTTGAAATCAACCGTCTGGAACTCATCAATAGCGAATTTTGCAGGAGGAAAGGTAGATGTGGGATTGAAATCATTTCATACAAGCGATTTTACAGCAAAGCTCGCTTGAAATCAAGGATCACGTTCCCAGACGATGCCCTCGATCCAGTCCAAGTAGGCAGGGATCTCAGTATAGAATCCAGGTATGTCGGGTAGTCCGCAACCCAACCCAGCCGACACAATCCCCAATACCTCATATTGACAACTGTCATGAGCACGACGGATCATCAGCGGCCCACCAGAGTCTCCCTGCACGGTGATAAACAAAAAAACATGGAGAGGAAAAGACGATACTCGCGTTGTGCTCGGAAATGAGTGCTAAAATCACCTTGCATGAGTCTTTCTCTTCGGCACCGGCACAAAGGATTCTCCCCGTAACGCCTCGCGGATACAGTGCTTTAAGAAGCCTATACCTTTTCACCAATTTTTCACATTTTGATGGATCCATGAGTGGGACGCGGACTTTCTGCAGGACCGGGCTCGCTTTCCCTTCTGTAAATGGATTTTGGAAAGGGCATTTGTGAGGGAGTTTCACCGAACCCTGACCCGAAACCGATCCGGCACGAACCGCGAGTTGTTCCCCATCCGGCGACCGTGGCCTTGGTATGCGGCGGTGGGATGTCCTCGTCGGTCGGGAGACACGCCGGTTGGATGATGCTTCGAAGGCGGACTTCCCTGTCCAGTCGCGCCAGGGCCAAATCGTGATAACCCTGTGCATGTAACAATCTTCAATTGGAATCCATAATTAGGAAGGGAGTCTCTTCCCAAGCTCCTTAATGCCGGCTGCCCATTGCGTTAACACAAAGTGAGTCATCAAATCCCTTCCAACGAGTGAATGCCCTTTTTATATTACAGAGAACGTGATTGCGTCTGCGTATCGCTCGATTTCAGTGAGACACTAGTGGTGAGGNAAAATGCTCAGGCTCATGTTTTCATGTTTCAGTTGTTCTCACGGAAACTGGAGTTGTATCCTATCATGCAGACTATCTAAAAAATGAGATTGTATCGCGATGGTGAAATTTTGTTTCCTCTATTCCTCAATATTTTTTATACTCCAGAGTTAATCGCATTTCACAATCTCTCAAGTTCATAGGAGGGGAAATACTTTTTTTGAGATGTAAGTGACTGCTCGTAAGGCAAAGTAGTAAGATTCTCTGTCGCTGTTTTAAATGATGTCGCAGTGCTACAGGAAATAAGTTTGCAATGGTTCTCGCGTTCGCGCTATAAATGTTGAAGCTCTTTCAATCGATTCAAAACTCAATTATTTACCGAAGCGAATTGAGAGCACTCAGTCAATAAGGAATTGATCATGCTATAAGGGTTCGACTCTTTCTCAAAAGAGCAGAGGATGGAATTATAGTTTTTGTGTTGGAAAAGAAAAGGAATCGTATATTTCAAGATAGCTTCTTAGTTTAAAAAAATATTAAACACACGTCATAAATCACAAGCATTGGTCAATTGTCCACCAACGTTTTTATATGGGGGGGAAGGGGGGAGAAGAAGGGAAGCTCCGAAGCTTTTTTCCGAAGAGTATTGTGCTGTTTCTTTAAATAAATTTAAAATACGGTGCCGACAGAATGCTTATTGAAATATTACATTCGAACGGTCTTGCCAAAGAATGCGTTGAGAAATGCTGCGCTTCCACCTTCTCTAATGTCAGCGTGCGAGGAGAACCACAAAAATTTCCCATCTCCTCACGATAGATCCGCGCGACTCGAGTTCCCTCGTTCGCCGACATGGGGAAAGTGGCAACGCCGACCGATTCCGCCCCGAGGCATTTGATTTGCATCCCGCGCCTTTTTCGATTTTTCCTCGTCTGGTCCCACCTTAAAATAATATTTTCTCTTTGTGCCAGGGAATATCTCGACAGGTGGGGAGAGAATGCGCGTCATCGTATGGATGCACGAAACGCGTTAGCACGCCTCGTCGTGAAATCCTCAAAAATAAAATTTGAGCAAAAATCTTGTGACCCCCTTGAACTAAGCGTATGAATTGACTATTCCCGTTTGGGCATCCGTGGAATGCGAACGGACAATGAACGGACAGTGAACGTCCGGTTCGGAACCAATCCGACCTCGAGTGAGGCCAGCGCAGACAATGAAATGTGATTCTCAGACGGCGTCACCATCTTGTGTCGTGCAATCGCAAAATGGCGATAAGAAAAAATACCAGGACGACCAGAAAGTATTTTACAATCTAGAAAAAAATTCTAAACCGAGCGTTTTGGAACGTGCTGCCGCGACAACGGCCGATTCCATCCACGGATTTAACCCTTGATTTTGCTACATTTATTTGAATTGCGTGCTGCAGTTTGAGGTGACGTGACGCGAAGGTGACGCCGTCGCCGCACCTCGTCCGTTGACCCTCACAGGTTTCCGAGCAGTAAAATTCCCCTCAAGCTATCTGCCCATGCAATGCCACCGTCTGATCACCTACCTCTTAGAACAAGCTTTTTTTTTTTTACACCTGGGACGTTTCGGTCTCTCTAGCTACATAGACAGCATACGAAATGATCTCTACAAGATAAAAAGAACCTTATATTGAATATTCCATTTGAAGTTCCTGCTGGGTACTCTATCGAGGCGAAACATCCGCATTTTTTGAAGGGCGTCGAATCCCTCCCTTCGACCGGCAATCCAATATAATTATTCATTTCCTTTGCTGCAGGCAACACCTTTTATGCCTCATTTTCTTCCCAACCGCCAAAATACAAGCGGTCCAGTAACTGGCGAGGTCTCGAGTTGCTTAATATAGAAAGCTAAGCACTTGATGCGAGGATTTCTTGTCTCGGGACACGAAATAATACAGAAAATCTTAAAACAGTAAATAATTCTAGTCTCATTTTCACTCGTCCGCATTTCGTTTCAGAAACAGCATTTTTTCAATTGATTTTCAGCAGAAAGAAGCCTATTATCTTATTTTTTAACGGACACCAAATATTTCCTTAACATGAATGTAGCACCAAAAATTCCTGAAACTTACCATGTGCGGAAACTCGAAATCCCTTGCTGCCGTCCCACCGACGATCAGGCCTTGCGGACTGTGGCCGCAACTCTTGGCGCTGGTATTTCGCAGTTGAGACTGATACTCGTCGCACTCTGAAGGAATTGTCGGCGTCGGCGGATTAACGAAGAATTACGGAAGAGAATGCGGCTTAACCTGTTGAGGGCTAGGTTTTTTGGCCATTGCGGTACCCCAGGGCCTCAGTTTTTTTTTTTCAAAACAATGCAAATTTGATGCATGAGCAATATTAATGAATATATATGCACTAATAAATATCCATTGAACTTCCTTTAAACCCCAGAATTGATCCTTTTAAAATGTAAATACCTCATATGAGGCACGTAGTCACCGGGCGCAAGACTACGTTCGGGCCTCATATGAGGCACGTCGCCCTCAAAAGGTTAAGGAGCCTGAAAGGATGGGCTCACTTGCTCGGCTGATCCGTGGCTTCGGCGGCAGTCGCTCGCAGCAGATGTGGGGGTGGCCGGAATTGTCCAGGTAACATAGACGCGATCGGAGGGCGGAGAAACCCTTACGGAGATGTTCGAATGCAATGGGACAATCCATTATCCGTACGCATTTTCCCACATGTGGAGGGCAAACCTCCTCTCGGATGTGGTTGAAGCCTCGAGGCAGCCCGGAGACCACCGAACACAGGATGGAAGCGAGGAGGAGGAGGAGACAACGGGAGAACTCAAAAGGAGCCATCGCTGTCCGGGAATGCGTCTGTCCCTTCAATATATATATTTATCAACATCCTCCATATCTCTTCCCCTCCTTGTTTGATTTGTATGCACGTTTTGACCACCGGACGTGAGACCGCTGGAGAACTGGACGCACACGTGATCGCATCCGTCGGATGACTATGCGGTGCGTGGTGTTTCACTCGATGAGATTCGTGCGTCACTTTCGTCACTTCCGGCAAAAGCTGATAATTTGGAGTCATCGAGTCGATACTCGACTTATGGCATTCTGCCCCATCCGCTGGGATATTTCTTTCCTCATGGGTTCGGACTGTTTTAATCCATTTTCCCAAATCTTTTAATCTATCATAGCGAGAGTTCTCAACATTGTTATGTCTGTCTTGGCCATTTCCTCTCGGAGAAAACTTCTCTCGTTTCACCCAATGGAGAGTGACGAGTCTAAATCTATATTACAGAACGCAAAAAAAGTCTGAAAAAGGGCGAGAGGAATGGGAAGAGAGAGACCCCTCTCGAGCTTAAATTGAAGTATCGACAGCGTTCCACGCGCCAATACTCCGACGCAACGAAAGAGCACTTCTATAAGAAGTTAATTTAAAACAAACGGAAAGTCCACACTGTCTCCTTTCCTTCGTGCGAATGACCGTAGAACCGCTTCTTCCAGAAGGAACGGCTTGCTTCATTTGACCTCCCTCCCCAGGCATCCTTCGACCTGCCGTGTGCGTGACCGTGCGTGATCGGATGCGCGTCTCCTGGTGGGAGATAGGAATGTTTATTTCATTATTATTTTCCAAAGTTGTTAGAAATGTAGGTAAGTCTTTAATTCCGCATATTCGCTTAAAATCGTTCACAAGCGTATTACAGACGACTCCTGCAAATAATCCATTTCGTGGGCCCTTCATCGTCTGGGAACTTGCATCGGCTTTCGTAACGTGATCTTCCATCGGCACGTGTCTTAGTCCTGAACCGGCAAGAAACTGTGTCGAGTAGAAAAAAATATGATTGGTTTACATGCAGAAAAAAATACCCAAATGCGAAGAAGTACTGGAACCATTGCTGAGGCACGCGCGAATTGCTTCACTCAGTAATGGTCAAGTGATTGTGATAATCGATCTTCAAATGACAAATGACAAGTGTTTTTTTTTTCTCCGTAAAAGTAGAGAGAGAAATTGCCTCTATCCTCTCCGGTGTTTATCCTGGCCAGCTCCATTGGGGTCTTGGCTGAAATTCCCTTTCAAATGTTTATCCCCTATTGCCCATGAGTGATGATGAAGGAAAGCATGTTTCCTATCGAAAGACTGGGCAGATTCATACTAGCATTGTCCACGCAATTGTTAGCATCGTGCCGAAATCAAAACCTCGAAAATGGTTTTCCATGCCTCCTCGAAGGCGGGGAAGCAAACCTTCAAAAGAGAAATGAAGAATAATTGATTGAAATGTGAATCAATATCCCCGTTGTGTTCATATAATAGGAGCTTCCTAATTTCCCGCCCATCATTAGTTTATTCAAACCTCCGGAGGTTACTCACACACAGCGTGCGCGAAACTGACGTCAGCAAGCCCGAGCGACAAATGTGTGTTCATGTGTGTGTGACAGCTCAAATGACACACATGACAACCGTGTGCGCTCTGCGCGATCGCATGGGCTCTCCCCAGTCTTCTGCCTGCCTCGATGTGTACGTCTCCTCTAGGGATCGCATTTGTTCTTCCGCCCGTTTCGACTGTCGGATATATTCTCGAGAACCTAATAGGGCAGAGTTTAGAGTTCAGTGTTCGGATGACATAAGAGGACAAAAATAAAATAGAGGAGAGTGTGAAAAGCGGACCCAGGGCCTCCTGGTTGCAAGTGAAGTGTGCTACCACTTCACCAACGAAGCGCAGGGGCAAATCGAAAAATCAGGGATGCTTTTGCCGCGTCCTGTCTTCTCACACGGCCAACCAGGGGGGGAGGGGGGGGGGGGGGTTGTGGGGCGTTTAATTAGCGGCCTCACGCTGTCATGCAGACATCGGGATCCCCCGCGCACAAATCCGAACGTTTCTGTCATTTGGTCCAGCTGCGTGAACCTATCAGTGCGACTATGGGAAACCGCACGCGCTCATGCTACCGACAACCACCACCACGGACCAGAGTAGATCTTATCTCAAGGACGACCGTATTTCTACCGTAGTGCTTCTAGCTCGGAAAGGGCGGTGATAGAAATGTTTCATGGCGAAACCAATTTCCTCGGCAGTTGTCCTGGGAAAGTTCTCAACGGGCACAACCCAGTGAAGCCCTGCTCCACCGGCCTTTCGTTAGGACGGGGTTGACGGGCTAATGAAAGTATCGCAGGCAACGCATACTTGAAGTAAATCTTCTGGAGCAACTTTATTACGTAGGTTGGAGAATGAAATGATGAAGCGGATGTGATTTTAATTCATACGAGTGATTTATAGACGAAGGTAGCCGGATTCACGGATCATGCTTCCGAACTATGCTCTCGATCCAGTCGAAGTAGGCGGAGACCTGAGTGCAGGAGCCGGGCATATCAGGTTGTCCGGAACCTATCGCAGCCGACACGATCCCCAACACGATATACTGACGTTTTTCCCCGCCAGAAACAATCAGTTGAGTCTCCCTGGATGGTGATAAAATATTTAAAAAATAAAGAAATGAGACTGTTAGATTTTGTCTGGAAAAGAGTGCTTCTTTTCACCGAGTCTTTGTCTTCCGCGCCGGCGCAAAGGACTCTCCCACATAACACCACGTGGATAAGATGCTCTTAGGAAATCATACTTTTTCACCAAACTCCCACAATTTGAAGGATCCATGAGTGCAATAATGGCTTCCTGCAGGACCATGCTCATTCGCCTTCCTGTAATTAATTATACGTATGAGTGGCTCGGACTTTCATGGATTATGCTGCGAAATGAAGTCGATGAGAAATCGAGAGAAGTCGCTCCCCATCCGGCTCCCCATCCGTTGGTGAGAGGCGGATGTCCTCGTCGGTCGCGAGACACGCCGGGTGGACGATGCATTGAAGAAGGACTTCCTTGTCCAATCGCACCGGGGCCAAATCTGTCTCCAAATAAAAGTTAATTACTCAGAAAGTAAACTTGAAGAGAGCAAATTTGTGCAAGGGGAAAATTTGGAAGTTTCTTCAGTTTGGGTCGAAATGCTTCAGTTCCTGATGAGGTCATGAAGACAATTCATGGGTGATTTCTGAACCTGAAGAGATACACCTGCGGACTGATGACATCCTGGATATGCTGAAACATGCCATTAGAGATGCCTTCGCAACTGTAGGACCAAATATAACTGAAATAATTATGTTGACATTGAAAGGGAGACTGTAACAAGTCATTGGACATGTTGAAAGTGTAACGCTAATGATTTGCGGCTTTCATTTGCAATAAATGTAAATTTTTTCCAGTCTTTTTATAGAATGATGGCCTGTTTTGAAACAAAAATTGAATTAGCTATCGTTTGAGTCGTTGAATTAGCTATCGTTGAAATCGAATGAGTACTTACTGAGCTTTCACTTTTTGGGAGACAATTGCGGAGAATCCTTCTCAATATCCAAAGAATCCTAATGTATGCCATAATCGTTTTCTATACGGAGCAGCCATTCTTCCTCTTCAACGAAACGTGCAAAGCAAAAGTTGAAAGAATCGCAAGCGAAGACACAAACGACTCTTCCAGTCAGGATGAATGACTTTCGGAAATGTAGTAGTTCTCGCTGGCCTGATACTTCGTGTTTCCAAGATCCTTTTCTTCCAGCCTTGGCACCAGTGTCTTACTGAAATCGAGCGATACGTCGGTGACATCGTGAACGCTGTAAAATGGGAAAAGGTAATCCGCGGTTATAAAATGAATGAATGACCTACTTCGTATGAACGCAATGGGCAGCTGTGAGAATCCCTCTGAGGCTGATGGGACTTCTCATACGACAAGCTTTTGCGAATCGTCCTTGGTCCTGCCATCGACGAAGTCAAAGAGGCGCTCTCCGTGCAACTGCATCACAAGTACATGCAGGGCACAAAACCCACTGAGACGCCAGATGAGATTGTCGGTCACGGCAAATTCGATGTACTAGGTAAATGCTTAGCCACCATACTAGTTCTGGGCAAGAAAAGTAGAGTGTCTGCGCCCCCGTCTGATGCAACATATTTTCCAAGCATATACATATCCTATGTTTGATGTTTGACGATTTCAATTTCATATTTCAAGATAGTTTATTGTGTGGATGTGATATCCCTTACGTAAAGATCCTATAGCATCCGAGGAGATTTTCGAAACCGAAATATTGCAGGATTCTCATAGGAATCCTATAAGGTTCTTAGAGGACCCTATTAGATTTTTATAGGATACAATATGAATAATGTAGAAATCCTATAATTGTTTATGTTTCAAAAATGTTATTGGATCCCAAAAGATTTTTCCGTAAGGAATGGAAAATGCAAATATCCTCCACCTCTCTCGTTAGACTTGGTTCTCTTCGGAAACTTCTTCAGTAGGTTTCAGTTAGCTTTCGGGCTCTTATGAGCTCGAGGGAGGACGCCCGCGGGCTGGATCAAGAATTAACTCCGTACTTATTCCACATATTTTAAAATCAGTCTTGAACACTTTTCGAGGAAGGGATCGGAGCTCAGGGAAATTTACTTGTTCTCGTCCAGGAGAGAAATATTTCCAGCAAAAGTAGGCTCAATGGAAAGGTCTCGTCAAAAGCTCTCCAATTACGCACTACTATCTAGTGGCAGGTAAACCTGTTGCAAACCGGAGGAAACAAAGTGCTCTGCTGTCGTGCAAGGAATCTTCGAGATCTTCAGAGACTACCACCCGAACGTGCTCAATGAACGTTTCATTAAAGGTACTGCTAGCGTTTGGTGAACGTCATTGGTAAGGTTCTACAGACGGCTTAAATCTCAGAATTTTAGAGCAATCAAAAAGCAGTTAGAGTTATGAGTTCCCGACCGACGTGAATTCATCAAGGACGTGAATTGGATATTTCAAGGAAAGAGTTCATTGAACTTTCTTTTTGGGACTCATCCAATATGCAATTAACATTTTGGATATTTCATTTTCATCACCTAAATTGCATTCAGTCCAAGTGAGCCCAGCTCCCGCGGCAGGTGTCAGAGGTCATTATGTACTTGATTCGTCTGGTTGAAGAACTATCTCATTCTCTATTCCCTTTTCTAGGAAAAGCCTGGTGGAGAAGCGTGTGGTAAAACAGTGGTACTACGAAAATTTTCATCATATCTGCAGCTACCTCATATGTAGAAGTCAGTACTGAATTCTCTCTTCATGAGGGATATTCACTTTCACCCTTCCCTTTTTTACCTTCTCATTCCACTTTGTTATTCCCTTTACAATGGAGTCACCATGAAAATTAAGCCATCTACCCTCTATCATTTGAGCCAGAATTTTCTACAGACTTCTTGGACTGGATTACTTCAAAAGACCGATTTGTTGAAGAACGAATTTTCTTTGAAAACACTGAACGTCATCGAGAGCGTTCATGCTTGAGCACTGTCACAAGTATATAGGAAAAATGTCTCATTTGAATCGTGATCATAATTTGCCCCAGATCATGTGCATGTAGCATTCTGTAAACAAAGGATAGAAAAATAATTTTTTTTTTTGCAGACCCTAAACGACAACTCAACACTGAGCCCGCCAATGTCATTTATCTAATATCACTTCACCTATCACTCCACATGGCACCTCAGCAAGTCAATGGAGCATAATGCCCATAAAGCAAAAAATTATGATCCCAGATTCTACATTTGGGTGAAATTTGAAAGTTACATATTATGTGCAACGTACCTACCAACACTAACGAGCATTTGCCATTACAATTTACGACACACTTCTGTGTTGGCACACAGACGTGATATCGTAACCACGGGAAATGAACCACCCCAACATGGACGTTTAAAATCCCTTTACTCCTGGCAGCAGGAAGCAGGCCCTGCAGTAAGCGATGCCACCGTTTCCTTGCGAGTACCACAGCAACTCTCGTTGCCTCGTTCGCCCAAGAGATGGTGAGATGAGAGCGAATGTCCGATTTTCCGTGAAAGTTTGCCTCACGTTTGTGAGGCCGATATGGTAATTTCATTTCTCAAAAGCACATCCTCGGATGATGAATAGGAATTCTGTCGATGCTCATATCTCGAAGCGTTTGGGCTGTAGAGCTGTCGCACACACGCATTAACAAACCACTCGTTTGTTAGCTCGACGTACCTAGCGGTCATGATCGCGCACGCTGTGTGTTTACCCTCCGGAGTTCGGTTGCTTCACGAGTGAGGTCGTCCGGTTTTAATAATTTGCATAGTTGGCTTCATTGGTCTCAAAGATACAATCTTTGGAAAAATAACGGTTTACTATAGATGACATTTTACATTTTACCTACATTTCGAATTGGCATATGGTAAACATTTTTCAGAAACGCGCTTACATAAAATTTTTTTCGGCAACGAAACGAAACGAATATTTCAGTTCCTGTCCCTCCCTCATTACTGAAACAATCCGTTCATTCCCCCCCCCCCCCTCCCCAACAGTATGTCCCAAAGGGAGATATATGGAAAGAACATACCGAATTTTAAAATGCTTCTCAACAGTTAAAAGTGTGCCTAAGTTTCAATTTCAGTCTCTCCGTTACGTCGGAGCGAAACACTTTCGTAATAATTCTACATCAATAAAATTGTCCTCAGGGAATGTACCTCCAAAAATGAAAATTCCTTTAAACCAATACCACAAGAGATACAGAATTACCAAATATAAGTTATCTACATTTCAGCGTTGAAGTTTCCTACCGCAAAAATTTCTGGAAGATAATGCTCTCAGGTAAAAAAAATAGCCGTTAGGGATAAACATCACAAATGAAAACCGTCTTATTATTGGCATGGAGAGAAGCACTTCCATGAACAATTTTAAGGATCACGAAACATGTTTTCAAGTGTCTGAGATTCATGGGTCATCTTTCCAGACGATACCCTCGATCCAATCCAAGTAAGCGGGAATCCGGGTGTAGAAGCCAGGGAATTCTTGAGTCGCGCATCCGACGCCACTTGCAATTGTCCCCAACACGTAATGTTGGCAGCTGCCTCGACCGATCATGAGCGGACCGCCTGAGTCTCCCTGCGCATGAAAAAATTTCCCGAATGGAAAGAGGGAAGCCAGCATTCTGCACCTGACAGGAGTCTTTGTCGTTGTCGCTGGCGCAGATGATTCGGGTCGTCGCCCCATTCGGATAGGGTCTCCTGAGGATGTCATGCTGTAATATCTTCTTGTTGCATTCGGAGGTTTCCCACATGGAAACACAAACTTTATGCAGGACGTTGGATCGATTCCCTCCTGAGGAAGATTCAAGGGAACCGTGAGACCGGCAATGTCCTTCACAATGCATGTTTTAACACAGGATTAAATTTAACTGAAAGACGTGGTTCCCCATCCGGCGACAGTGACGTTAAGTATTCTAGGCGAAATATATTCCTCTGTCGGGAGACACGCCGGGTGAATGAATCCTTTAATGGGGACTTCCCGATCCAGTCGAATCAGGCCGATGTCGTGGTATTTTTGTGCCTGAAAGGAACTTTACAGAGTCCGTTCAAAAGAGTGTTCGTTGGAATGCTAGGGTTCACACGTGGACCAATCTTCAACCACCCTTCCCTTTCAAGATGAAATAACTAAGTATTTTCACAGAGTTTGTCATTCATCCAGGACTAAGTCAAACTATTAATATAAAGCATTTAACCATGAAACGAAGATCCTGTACATAAGTGACTCTATCTATACAATTTCTTGATGTATCCTGGATTTATTATTGCACTTTTACAAAGTTGGAAGGCTTAAAGAGATAATTATTGAAGCGGATCCTGGAAAGAGACCCAATAATTCATAATTCAGCTATGGAAATTATGTTGCATGGTGACACGGCAAGAAAACGCCTATTCAAATAATATAGGTAATTTCCGGCTCGATTATTTTCCTCTTCAAGTACTTCGTGTATCACTGCTCACGTGATCTTCATTTTAGGCGTGCACCGATTTGAAGCTCAGTGAGCAATCAAGTACGAAGAGAAGGTTTAGTAATTCCTCATGAAATACCTTCATGCTTCATTTGAACTGTATTTGGGAAACCTAAATCCCTTTCTTGAGTAACTACTGATGCACGTCAGTCCCACTGTTTACACACCAAATGATTTTAAAATGAAATCAGTGTATCCACCGTTCTAATTAGAAAAATAAAAATGAGTTGTGACTCCATACGCTTCGAGAATTCCCTGCTTCCCACTCGGGGTGAATCACGACCTCCGTCACGTTGTAGTCCTCGGATGTATCGTGATCATTGCTCTTCAGGTCGTGTTCTCCGAGTCTCACAATGAAACTCTGACTGAAATCCAGCAAAAACGCAGTTCAAGTCGAGTTGTACTCAACAACGAGAAGGAGATTAACTGATGAGCACTTACTTGGAGTTCAAGCAATGGGCAGATGTGAGGATCCATCTTTGGCTGATAAGACTTCCACCACAATACCATGTTATTTCCCCATTTTTCTTTACACCAAGATTAACCTAAAATACAATGTGCATAATCGATGAAGCATGTAGAAAGTGAAACGTAGGACTATTGCCTCGAAAGTTAGAGTTGATGTCGATGACAAGGACTAAGCTTTAGCTGTAGAGTGGTAGGGCAATGGGACCAATATTCGTAAATTAATGGGAAAGGACAATTATCATCATCTTAATATGTACGTTTTTTAGGTGCCATATTATGTGTCTTATCCGTGCAATCAGAATCACTGAAGACTGTCCTTTTCCCTGGCGAAAAACATTCGGATTCAGACCATGACACGTGGCCCATGCTGAAACTTAGCATTAACCTCCAGAGACCTGACTGTTCCGTACGATTACTTGCAAACTTGGTACACACTCATGACCTGGAGTTTGAGAGGTTAATTGGAGTAAGCCAAATGGATTCTCGGTGTTTATGGTTGAGGGATGACGATAAGGCGGCATCAACGACATCAATGTGATTTCTTTAAATATTCATGTAGAACCAATTCTCATAATGAAAAGATGAACTCGCACAGAGGATTTTAAATTAAAAACATGCCATATGAGGGAACTCGAATTCCTCAGCTGTCATTCCACCGACTATCAAGCCTTGAGGATTGCGGTCACAAATGTTTTCACTGGGCCCAGATATCCGAGACCTGTACTCATTGCACTCTGAAAGAAACAAAGCATTTAAAAAATTGTTTACCACTTTTTTTTTGGAACCGGAACGAATCGACATACTTGCTCGACTGATCCGTGGCTCTTGTGGCATTCGCTCGCAGCATATGTGGGGGAGTCCGGAAGAATCCAAATAACATAATCGCAACTGTTGGAAAGCACCGAGACAATCCATGATCCGCAAGCATCATCCCACATGTGGAGGACAAATCTCCTTTAGAATCTGGTTGAAGCCTCGAGGCAGACCGAAGACCATCCAACAGTGAATGGAGACGAGAAGGATGCAATGGGAGAGCTCCACGAAAGCCATCTCGATCGAGGTCTTTGTTCGTCCCTGCATCCATGAAGTCTATATATACGCTCTATTTCTCGTCCATTCCTTGCTTAGTGTTGCCGGACATGAGACCACCGGAGATTAGGCGACAGGAAGTGAGACCACTGAACATGTGATGAAATTCATTGAACGGAAAGTGGAGAGAGAAAGCATTTAACATGTATGAAATTCCCCGCGTCACTTTTGTCGAATCATTCAAATTTGATAGTTCTGCGTCATCGTGTCCATGCGCAACTTTCCCCGTTCTAGCCAAACTACGAAGGATTTTCCGCTACCCTGCTTTAACATTCGCTTGATTTATTATAATTGGTTTCAGCAGTTTCCTAAACAATTTAAAAACTACCAGCGGTCTGTGGCCGCAATTGGGATCTTAGCCCCAAACTTCTTCATCACACCTCATCAAAACAGAAGGTCTTATCCCAATTTCCTCCGCCGAAAATTGATCTACACTTCACGATGGAAAATATGGAAATAAAAGATGGTGAGGCCCAGCGTGCTATACCTGCCAGTATACTCGAGAAATAACCAAAATACTTTCAACATTTGTGAAGCGAACGATGAAGAAACGTAAGTTTTATTTCAAAATTAACAAAATTAGTCCTGACTAATGGATTCGACAACCTAATAAATTCTTCTTCATAAACTACATCGTCGGTAACGATGTCAACATCAGTTTTGCCCTGCTTCGGTCAATCGATGTCCTGAATCTTCAGAGCAAAATGGTGAGCGGGCGATGTACAATCGCCCATGCGTAAATACCGACTAGGGAAGCAGCAGTCCGACCCAATCAAACGTCTGTCCCTGAGAATTGTTAATACTCATATCTAGGCAGGCTTCACAGGTAATCGACGTCGAGAAAGATCGAACGGTATGCTGACGTCGGATGACATGTCCAGTACAACTGTTGGCAGCAAATGAACGCTCCGACGAGGCCCGTCTATGATTATCTCGTCAAGTATGACGTTTGTGTTAATGTCCTTCACCATCATGTGTGTGCCGTTGTGAAGGCCGTTCCCGATCAAAAGATTCAGCGGAAGCATCACGATTTCTCCAATGTTAATATTTAGGGTATGCGGGGGGAGACCTGGAGGACCGAGTGTCGAGGAATTCAAATGATTCTTGACCTGATATCGGCATCATCAACATTTTCGTTCTAGCAGCGTCGACACTGCGTTAAATACTCATTTTGCCTTCCAATCGGTACACGTCGCCATAGACCAAATTGATGTGCTCATTCCTGAGACACAGAATGACGCGTTTAGTGCTACTCACCTCGACATCCCAGACCCTATGCCGTCGTTCAAGTGGATCGTTCACCGAATTATCGGAGTTGCGATCGTCTGCCAAACGCACGGAGAGCCCAGATCGAACGCAACGTACTCGCAAAATTGTTCCGATGCACACATCAAGCGATCATTGAGCAAAATCCATATTCCTTGGTGACTTCATTGTCTTCGTTACTCTCTTGTAGTAATATGTTTTCGAATAGGTTTACTGGTAAAATGACTTTCAAAAATCAAATTTGTTTATACGAATATATTTGACTTACAATTGCTGCACGTCCAGTTGAATATAATTCCAAGCGTATCTTGGCAGTTAAACAAAGGAAAATCACCAATTTCGCATGGATTAGGAAAAGAGTTGGAAAAATATAATTCCATATGGCTACGTCTAATCGAAATGCACATTTTCTTTTAGCTGAGTTGCATTATTATATTTTCCCTTTCATTGCAAACGAGCACATTTTGTTTTTAAATTATCATACGCATTATCTAATAATCCATACTAATTTACCTGCATAAGTACATGCTGGGGATTAATGTAAAATGCTCAGGCTCATGTTTTCATGTTTCAGTTGTTCTCACGGAAACTGGAGTTGTATCCTATCATGCAGACTATCTAAAAAATGAGATTGTATCGCGATGGTGAAATTTTGTTTCCTCTATTCCTCAATATTTTTTATACTCCAGAGTTAATCGCATTTCACAATCTCTCAAGTTCATAGGAGGGGAAATACTTTTTTTGAGATGTAAGTGACTGCTCGTAAGGCAAAGTAGTAAGATTCTCTGTCGCTGTTTTAAATGATGTCGCAGTGCTACAGGAAATAAGTTTGCAATGGTTCTCGCGTTCGCGCTATAAATGTTGAAGCTCTTTCAATCGATTCAAAACTCAATTATTTACCGAAGCGAATTGAGAGCACTCAGTCAATAAGGAATTGATCATGCTATAAGGGTTCGACTCTTTCTCAAAAGAGCAGAGGATGGAATTATAGTTTTTGTGTTGGAAAAGAAAAGGAATCGTATATTTCAAGATAGCTTCTTAGTTTAAAAAAATATTAAACACACGTCATAAATCACAAGCATTGGTCAATTGTCCACCAACGTTTTTATATGGGGGGTTTTCGTTGTCCTTGCACTATTGTCTCCACTTTATATTTTGCTCCGTGCCCCCATTAGCGGTTGAACGTCTGTCATACAACAATAATGCCCATCGCGTTCCGAAATTGTTTTGGAAGATAAGCTGTCAGGCACGTGGATGAGTATGATCACGTATGAGTCCAAATAGTTGAAAGACCTCATTTGGTGTTGTCAAGCTTATCCTTTATCCATTGAACGAACCTGAAGAGTGAACAAGTAAAGTATTTTAGTTTCTCGATCCCTAATAAGAGAATGGGGAAGGATAAGAAAATAGAAAAAAGAGAGAGATGAATTCGGCTCTAACCGATTCACTTTGGTGAAGATGCCGTATTGGCCAGGACGCCTCATGGAACACTCTTCTTTGCTGAAGAAGTGACTCACGATCCCTTCGATGGTCCAGCGACTGTCTTCCGAGGTACCAGATAGCAGAACCAGGGGACTCCCCGAATCCCCAGGACAGACACTTTGGTATTCTAGAAAGAAATTAATATATTTGGTATTGAAATGAGAAAAACTTAGCAGTTTTCCGAAGGGCGAAGTACGTTTTGCCTTTTCGGAAAAAAAACTTACAATGCTCACAGCTTCAGTGAGGAAGAATGTAGGTAAATCGATAATGTTCGTCAAGAAAGGGCGACATTAGCGTTCAATGCATTTTAAGTGGTGAAACTGATTTGATTGCAAGCATGATTTACTGTCAATTCATCTCACTTCCGGTCATTTGACGTCACTATAAACATGAGTTTAGCAGCACGAAATTAATACCCGTATGTTAGCAGATAACGATTTCCTTGTCACCATTACTAGATTGGGAAAAAACCTGAGGAGCATATTAGTGTTCTCCTCTGGTATCGCAGCGGCAGATCATTTACTTTATTATTTGGGACAGCGAAAATTTCGCTTCAATCCATATTGCTATTAAGTCTATCACTTTCATTCTGCACTAAGAGAACTCCCTTCCCCCTCCGCCTTGGTATAATTTACAAGTTCTCCATGAATATATAAAAATACTAGATGAAGTACCCGGCATTGCTCGGGGAAATTCGATATTTCGATATTTCATGCATGAAAATTTGGGGAACGCTAACCTTATGGTTTCCTATAAATTATTGATTTCGGTTATCGCAAAATGCGCTTGGACACCTTCCCCTTTTTTTTCCTTAATTCTTTGGGGGGGGTTAAATTTTAAATGTGATCGCTTTGTAGATCGCTCTGAAAATCGCTTTGATGAAAGCTTTGAATAAGTTCAAAATAATTTTGGAGTTGAAATATTTATTGATAAACTGTTTTTATCGTTTTGAAATATTTTCGTTGAATACTTGATCGAAAGAAAATTTATTGCTACCTACTGTAGTGATCCAGGGATGAGATTACCCCAGGGTACTGTAATGCACGTCGCCGGCCAAAGGTATGGCATGACAAAGGTAGTATTTACCTCAGGAAAATACTTCAAAATGTAGGTTAAAAAATGCTAATACGTCCTTAAATGCTCAGAGATACAAAACTAATTTCCACTCAGGGAGACATAAACATCCACAACATACACGCAACACTTAGCAACGTTTCCACACCAAACTGTAAAACATGGATGTAATGCTGCCGTAATGTTGAAATAAAACGCAATCCAGAGTTGAAAATAGGAGCTTGTGTCACGTTGTGGCAATTATGTCACTCGTCAAGGCTTGGGCATTATCTCCTCCTTTTTCTGAGCCTAAGCGCTAATGTTGATTAGAACTTAAAATTACTCTAATGAGTGCGATTATACCACGGAAGGGTCCATCCGAGTAAATTTCCTTAACTGGATCAGAGCTGGAGTTTAGTACTTGAATGGTGCAACTCATTCATTCAATACTGTCTCAAAGTTTCAACGTAATGTCACTGTTGACACAACATTATTGGGCAGAACGAGAACATTCGTGGCATCCAAGCCTACAATGGGTTTAGGTTAAGCATTTTATTCAGGCTGGCCTAGTCTCATATGTTGTCAGGTGGTCTTTTCTTCATTTCTCATTATCTATTCCTTGAGGAAACGTCAGCAAAAACCAATATAAAACGTCTGCTAATGCCAATAGCCGATATTATGATACTATGATAGGTCGCGGCTTCGGCACTGCATTACCTTTCGTTATGATTAATTCATTTCTTCTTTGCGAAATGGCAAACACCTCTTTAAAGTACGTCCCCATTGAAATACGGGATATATGTGGGACAAAAGTCTTCATTTTATTAAAAATCATTACTTCTATGATTTCTAGTGTGCCTTGAAATCTTTTCATATGCCGTTTTTGTAAGGGTGGATAATACATTTTGAAATACTGCCCTCCTATAATCTTCGCTAAGGGGACATATTCTAAAAGTAGAATTTTTCCTCAACTCAGCATGCGAATAACTACTTATGCCAGGCAGTCAGCTACTCACGATCGTCAATATATAATGAAATAATAATTTTTTCTTTCCTCAGTTATCCACACGTTATCCTTTGCCATGTTTAAACTTTCTACCGCCCTCCGTTTTGCTAGATCAGAAAATTCGGGAAAATACGCCGTTTGCAAAATATGTGCCCTGAGGCGTTTTTACTGAGGAGTACCATTTTTTTTTTTTTTTTACCGAAATCCATCCTCAGTGAACTACATGCCCACTAAGTTCCAATAATAATCGTTTGCCCTTTTCCCTGGTGAAAAAACATGTTTGGAAAAGCCTACCCACCCAAAAACTAAGCTCGGAGGGGATACAGCATGAAAGATGAATACTCCCTCAACTCAATATCATGTCGCTTATACGTGTGGCAAGTTTCACCATTCCATTTCTGCACAATTTACCCCGTCAAAACCTTGTTCCCCCCCGGGGATGTATCAAGACTTAACATTTTTCTTTAACTCCTTATCTTGTTAGTCACAATCATGCAAAGTTCCAGCTTTCCATGTCCATCGGTTTAACTAATGCAAAAAAAAATGTGTAAAAATTTTCTTCCTTTTAAATTCTTGCTCCCAGGGGAATTCATTCCAAAGTCTGAATTTTTCTGCATGCAGCATCCCGGTAGGTAATTATATACCAAGTTTCATCTTTCCACACTAGCTCAATGCACCAGGACAAAAAAAATACTTGCAAACGTAGGCCCCCAAATTTAGATCCATACCCCAGGGAATGGATCTAAAATTTTGCTTTTCTCCTGAACTCACCGTGTCAGTAGGCACGTCCATGCCACGTTTCAGCTTTCCATGTCTCTCCGTTTTATTGAAGCAATGGGACATGGAAGGCAAGAGAAGTAAGAGAAATGCTTGGAATGGCCAGGAATTGAACCCTGACCTCACGATTGTTGGTCCGATGTACTACTACTACTTCACCAAATCAGTGTCATACATTGGCATCTTTGGATGACATCCTTATCCATCACGATATACAGGGTGGGCCAAAAGTGTTTGCCCCTGTATAAAAGTGTGAATATCTCCTGAACGGTTTGGGCTAGAGTCGAAAAAAAAACTAAAAGAAAGTTCATTTCATCCTCTTTCTGAAAATGTGTGGTTTTAGGTTCCTACATTCATTTGGAGATGAGTCATTGCCGTTTGAAAAAAACACCGAAAAAAAAAGTTGCAAAAACGAACCTATACCGTGCCGCTCAGGGAAATCATCCTCAGCAGCTGGCTTCAAAATCGCGCGCGCCGTCGTTTTCTTCCTTCCTAATTGCTGCCTACCTTCTTTCCCTTCTTCGTAATGTGAAGGAAGAAAATTTGAAGACTTTGATGCTTGATTTGGATAACCGACCAGCAGAAGATCGTGACAAAAGTTTAAATTAACAGTGCAAAGACGAGCACTCAGCACATCGGGCCGAGTGGACAACCGGAGCCCGTTTAACTTTCGTCACGATCTTCTGCTGGTCGGTTATTCCAAACGGCTATGACTCATCTCCAAATGAAAGTAGGAACCTAAAACCATACATTTTCAGAAAGAGGATGAAATTAACTTTCTTTTAGCTTTTTTTCGACTCTGTAGCCCAAACCGTTCAGGAGATATTCACATTTTTATACTGGGGCAACAACTTTTGGCCCACCCTGTATATTTAAAAAAAACTTCTTCCCCAAAATGTGTACCCCCAGGGCTTGTACCTCCAAAGTGGGATTTTTTCTGAACTCTGCACCCCAAAAGGTACATGTGTACCAAGTTTCAGATTTTTAACTTCTGTAGAACATGGTTAGATTTAGCGTCAGTCAGTCAGTCAGTCAGTCACGATCGTCTATATATATTAGATACCCGCGGGTGATGAGAACGACGAATACTTCTCATCATAACTAAGTCTGAGCTTTGATGAGATGTCAAGCGTAGAAAATTGGTGTCATATGGTAGAAGTTACCTAGACTGTACCTTGATGTCGCCAGGACTCTCTCAACTCAAATTGACCACAGCAGGATCAAATGTCAACTGTTTTGCGGTGTAAAAGTGAATTCAAACAGAGGAAATTCAAGCCTTTCGAATGATGTACTAATAATGAATGATGTATGCAAACAAACCTTGAGAGTTTTCATAACTATTACTACATATCACGTCATTTTAGGCTCATTGGTTACTTCATTATAAACATGTGAAAGTATTACCTCCTTTTTGAATTAGCGTGTATTTAATCAATATGCAAGCATTTAGAAGAACGATGCAAAATTATTTTGCAACATTCAAGGAACGTTTTTGTTTTGGACATTTACGCACAGAGGCAACATTGTTCGTTAACATTACCGAAGCGGAGCTGGAATATCTTGTATTTCTTGTGCATGTAAATATGTTCTAAAGTATGTATAACATGGTTTCATCCAGGCTGTACATTTTCAGAAATTCGAGTTGGAACTTCCAATTATGCAAAGTTCAATATTTGAAATTAAGAGGAGAAAGACCATTTGAGACATGGAGATTGCTTTGGTAGTAATGATTCACCAGATACTCTCATTCATTGTATGTATTGAATGCTGATGAGTCAGACAGGTCTTTCAGGATTTGCTAGTAGAATAATAATGCATACTGCCTGCTAAAATTAAGCATGGAAGTTTTCGTACTTTCAGATGCTTTAACAGCATACACATTTTCTTATTCCTAGCGAGTAAATCTTGTCTTGATTATTTTTCTCCTACTATGTTCTTCCTGGGACGGTAAATCAGGATGACATCGACAATCAGCAATCATGTCGTGAATGAATTTAGTTCCAGATAATTATTTAGGTTTCTAGGTTGGGCAAGATCGTACCTTGGAGTGGTGTATCCCTATCATGTCCGGCACAAAACACATTTGAAGTCAGGGAATTTGCGACAGTGGGGTCCCCAGTGAAGTGAGCTGTGTCCCGGCGACATTGAGAGTTGGTTATTAAAGGAAGTTCCACTTTCATCAAGACATTCGGGAGCGTATTCGAACTATCGGCACCCCAGCTAGCCACCTGCGATGAAGAAATTGTGTAAGCCCATGGAACGGAATGTCGGCAATGTTTGAACATACCCGGCTCATATTATTTCATGCAAGAAGAATGTGACAGATCAACCAAATTAGGGAGCTAAGGATTAGGCTAGTGGTAAATATTTTCCTTTAACATCCTAGACCATAATATTAATTATAAATAAACTGTACTGAAGCATTTAATACCTTTTTTTTCTTTTCCCTAGCAAAGAAACTTTTTGGTTTTTCTTGTGCCTTTGAACATGGGTAAATTGGAGAAAAAATTTCCTCCAAATTTGTAAATAGAAGGCCTGAAAACGTTCTTGTTGTTCATTTGTAACAAATATACTTTTTAGTCTTCAGCACATCTGCTACATCATGCATTAATGAGTTTAGTTGACTGAATATTAGCATAATTAAGCATTAGAATTAAAGTAAAATTGGCGCAATAATATAACAGCAATATCCATGCGTAAAGAATGCCTATATGTTTTCGAGATGTGATTGGCTTTTATTATACCATTGAGGCATATTATAGAAATGCACTGTGTTGCAAATGTAGGCAATTCTTGGAAAGAAAAGTATAATTATAGGAATGAAGGAATAAAAAATTGTTTGTCTTCAAAAGTTTCAGATTGAAATCCTTGTCTTATATCGCAATTTCTCCTGGCCTCCCTCTAGTCCCTTATTAGCGATTACTTGGTGCAAAAGTCAATGATTGGAACTTTTTCAGAAAATATAGGTCCTCTATGCAAACTTGTGACAAAGGATCGTCAAGTACCACTACTGTTCATTTCACTGTGTGATCTGTGTTCAAGATCACTGTGTGATCAAGTGCGATCTGAAGCTGAACCTAAAAGGGAGTCTTGCTTACTGTATGTATAATTTTACTCCTGATGTACAGGGTCTCCCAACAAATCGTAACGATTTGATTTTTCGATACATTTTCTAATTCTCAACCAATTCTGATCGTGTTCTATATAAATTTGTAGAGCGTTTCAAGGTAATTTTCTGGCACATATTTCGACGCAAACGGTTGGAAATAAATGAACTTAAGGCAATCCTCGCATACACCTCTTTTCGCGCTGCTTCTCTCATTTTTCAGCGGCCTAAATGCGGGTGTAAATGTGTGCTAATTGTGCATTCCGTCTCTCTGAGTTAAGGGAAATGGAATACGTATTGGAAGTAGCCAAAAATGGAGATTCCAGGTGAAATCGCGCAATGGGAGAAGCCCAAGTTGATCAGCAATGATTAATCGGCAAGTTTTTTTTTTAATTTCGCTGAAACTTCGCTCTTCGTGAGTCATTTCAAGGGCCTTATATAAATCTGCTGATGAATCAGGCCTTGCCCCTCAAGGGCCATTCTAGGCCTTGCTGATTCGGAAAAGATACGCTACGAATCAGTTTTCTTCCTTACAGTCATTTAACCATTCCAAAAAATGGTATTTGTTGCAGTACATACCCCATGTTTCAATGAATAGGATACCTCACGGAAACCGTTGTAATTCATTTCTCATTAGTTAGTTTCAGTTCAACGAGGTATAATTTATATTCTCTCGAAATGTTCTACACAACTTATGAACGCGATAAGAATCGGTGTTTTATTAGAAGATTTTAAAAGTACTTTAAAACATCATATCGTTACAATTCGTTGGGAAATGAAAAAGGTTGGCGTATGGAAAATTCATGTTACTTATTAGATCCTTTGTAGTTGACTGGTGAACTTCTTCTAATGACAAGGTAAATTTTACAAATTAATATTATAAACTACTCAAAATTTCCCTGATATTTCCTTATAGGCCATAGAGTGCCTGTTGATGAAGAACAAAATCATCTCTAATCTCATGCGCAAAGTTGCGCCTAAGGTGTGGATTTTTCCCACATTGCTGGTCTCGCAATTTCTTCAGATAGGATACCAAAAATATTTACCTGAAGGTACCTCTACTCCACCATGAAGGAAATGAACCAAGATGACCTTTCCTACTTAAGCGTCATTCCTTGGTTTGTCAAGCACATTCGAGCCCACTATAAAATATGACAAAATTTTCATGAATGAAGGCAGTGTGAATTGTTGAAAGGTGCCAAGCTTTAGAGAAGTCGTTGCGTTCGTTGGACTAAGACTTGCATAAAGACATAGAGCATTTTACTGAATACGAGACTGCTACTTTCCTGGATGTGGTGTTCAAGAAAACTTTCTCACTTTACCGCAACTTGGGGCAGGAGATGATTGATTTTGTTCTTAATTATTAGGCACTCATTTGCCAATAAGGAAGTCTCTGAAAAATCTCGAGAAGTATTTCAAATTCGCTTGGTGAATTTACTTCGTCATAAGGAGTAGTTCACCAATCAACTACACAGGATCGAACAAATAACATTATTTGTATATATACATCAGGAGTAAAAGCGTCCAAGACTCACATTTAGGTGAAGCTCAAGATCACAATAAATGAAAACACAGCAAGAAGAACAGCGCTATTGCATGACAAACGTTCCTCACATGTTGGCATGACGTACATATTTTTAAAGAAAGTTTGAATCATTGACCTGTGCACCACGTCAACAAACGATCAGAGGAAGACATGAGGAAATAGCAATACAGGACAAGGATTTCAATCCGAAAATTTTGATGACGAACTATTTTTTATCCTTTCATTTTCAAAATATGACTTTTTTCCAAGAATTTCCGACTTTTGTACCACAGTACACTGACTCAGTAGTTCACACAAACCTATTTTTCAGACTCATGACTAGGACAATTTTCCAAGTAAAAAAAATCCAATATCGAAAAACCCACCTAAAAAATCTTCTCAATCGTGAAGTTAGTCCCAGTGCTTTTGTTGAAAGAAATTAAGTAAGTAAACTCTGCCTCACCATGTGTCGATGCATCAAAGAGTATTAAATTTATCGAAGAATACCACACCATGAATATATTCTTGAATCTTAGAAGCTCGTTTGTAATAGCTTATAATGTTCTATGAATTCAAAAATTTATATTTTGTATTTTGCTAGAAACCTCACTGGATTAAAGCAGCTCTGAAAAAAAAGTAAAGTGTTATTTTTTTACAGGGTTGGAAAAAATGTATGTTTCAATTCTGCATAACTTTCGTTCTGTTGAAGATATGACCTCTAATGAAATGCTACTGATAAACTGTCTGAATGGGCTCAAACAGCACTCCCAAGAACAGGTAAACAATAAACCAACTATCAACGGACTAGATAATATTTACTCTTGAGACGCCTGTATAGACTAGGTATATTACTCGGACGAAGGAATTGATGTCACAATGTAAAATTCCTGTCAGAGATATCCTGGAGTCACCAGTTTCTGTAGACAGTTGGCGCGCCAATTTATTGCACAGTGTTTCAATGATTAGCTCCAAAATCCCTCTTTTTCTTCCAATCTGTCCTCGGGGGTCTCGAATTATTGATATTAAATCTTCACTCTCTGTCCCAAGTGTCCAGCGTTTAAAATTGATTTGGCACTTAGACTTAGGACTTACTATGAAAAGCCGTTGATATCTTTAATTGAACTGAAGTTTTGCATCACTGAAACATAACAAATGTTGATACTCCATAAATGAAAAAGTAGTCGGAATTCTAGAAAAAAATAATTTCACATTGGAGTTCATGAATGTCAAAATCAAAATGAAATGCTAAAGCTTGAGTCAAGTAATTATAGCAGGGTCTGTCAGTAGAAGAAACCGCATGTCTCACCCATCCTTGTAATCTGTTCGAGGGGTTTCTCTCAAAGACATCTGGACTTGCAGGGAAGCAAAGCAGCTGCACTCTTCGGGATAACGTGGCAGGTTCCGTCAGTTTCAAGAGTGCGATATCGGAGTCGAAATTCAGCATGGAGAAATCTTCATGGGTAATGATTCGATATATCTGGAATAATACCTTATTAGTAACAATTTTAAATAGGTACGATTTTATGAGAAGCCTTACTCCTTACTTTCTTTTTTTGCACGAACTCATCATCTTGAGAGTTAACTCTATAGTGTTTCCCAAGATAAACCAGAAAGGAATCCCAACTTCGGACTTTAGGTGATCCCTCAAAGGTGACGCAATGGGCAGCAGTGATCACCCATTTCCTATGAATAAGAGCTCCTCCGCATATGATATCCTTCTTCTCCGTGTCGTAAATAGCTGCCTGCCACGGCCACTCTCCTATGAGAGCGGGATTTCCACCTGCTGAGAGCGATGTCTGTGTCGCTATTTTCCCGCATTCTAGGAATACAAGATTCAACAGGATTCACACTTCAAAATAACACGAAGTCGAGAGAAAAAAAGAGAAAACTGACGAGGTTCACAATCTGGAGATTTTCCCGTCCACTGCCCATCGGGTTTACAAGTCCGCGAGTTTGGTCCCCGCATCTTGAAATATTGATTGCATGCATACGTAACACGGGTTCCATTGACAGACCTTCCGTTCTGGATGCATTCAGTTATGTTTGTGTGGTCAAAGACTGAATATTTATCTATAGGTGCATTGCGAAAGCCTTTCCTAGAATGAAAACAGCAATGCGCTGATTCTCTAGAAATAAACCACTGACAATGTGTGGCGATGGCAGCAATTACCCCTCCATTGGGCAGGAGACGATCCTGAAGATTCCATCTTCGATGCCAACAAGTTGTCCACATCCATTCGCATCAGTGACTTCAAGAAAGACAAACAAATGCTGTTATTTCTCAATTTCTAGTGGGAAATAATTTCTACTGTAATGGGCCAGGAGTTCAAAGGAATCGCATTGCATAAAGATAATTTGGAGTTCATGTAGACATTTTAATTGCATCTTAAAGACGCGACCAATATTCTGTTTCTCATTGGTGCGAAACTTAAAAAAAAAAACAACTTTCGCTTAAGTAAGAGAACACGGTAAAGAAAATATGCGTGAAATTTGCTTTAAGAAAGCGGAAAACAAGAATATGAATATTTTTATATTCTAATTAAATAAATATATTCTGAATTTTACCAACTGTTCACAAAACACCAAGATTTGATGTACAATTTTCGCGAATGGCTTGGGAGTGGAGGGAAATCCAAATAAAGAGAGACCTACAACGTTTTAGAGGGATTGTAGGAAGACTATTAAACATATTTGTGGCGATATAATTTCGCTCCAACTTTCTAAGACTTCTTGTAGAGAGAGGAATGTATTTTAAAATCATTTTGATGTACCTGACGCTTTAAAACCCAGTATCTCTATTTAGACATTCGCACCAATCATACCGAAGGCAATAATTTAGGGAAACTTGGTGTATTGTTCGATTTCACAGTGCGGAAAGCAATGGACATGGTCTCGGCCTTGGCATTTACGTAGTCCGTGTGATCCTCCAACACTTTCAGCAATCCTGGCCAGCAATGTCACATGACTTCACCCCAGAATATGAAAGCATACAGTAGGTCATCTCAAGGGCGGAGTTTACCTCTGCATACCTTGCAACATGCTTCGAATAGCAGTGTGGAATATGGTCTTTTGAGACGATCCTTACAACTTATAAGAACCACAGTGAACAGCACCTATGAGTTCCACGTCTGAGAGCTCGAAGGTGCTGTACCTACGAAAGTACCATCCCGCGGTTCATTACCAGTAAAACTTTCTATTGGATCATAATCCCAAATGAGCTCTCGAGTGACACACTGAGTTCTTCTCTAAGATAGAGTTCCATGCCTGACAATATCCCCACTCTCGTCCTTAACAAAGTTCAATTGCCAGACCGACTTTCGTAGGGTGATTAAGACGATCTCTTATCTCCAAAAGAGATGAAGGAGCTCAGACCAGTATATATGTTATGTAGTGATGCTGTTATAGTCGGTGTATTTCTTCCATTCCCCGATGGCTATAATCTCCTGGAATCTCCTGCTAGGTTTTGCCTTAAATGTTTTATATTCATTAATTTCAAAGCCTTTTACTAAACTTGCATGTAGGAAAGCATCAGGTCCGGTATGAAACATGCAGCAGACTTATTCCTGTGGCATGAAAGGGGGAAAACGCTTAATCGGCAGTTAGACGGCATTTCAGCTGAAAAAACCTATAACCAGTTGAGACGACAAGGATAACATCAACTTGAAATAAGATTTAGGTTATTGGGAATGCAATAATAGAAACTGAGTTACAATTTCTTCACTACAAACAGTTCCGAACAGCTGTACCCTGGACTGTCTCTACATGTTCAAATTAGATTAATTATGAGTATCCAGCACTACCTTCTTGTTTATTCCTGGTTGATAGTAAATGTCAGCTACGTCTCAGGATTTAAAGGAACTGTCAATATTGACGCAGTTCCTGTTTCGAATCGGAATAATGTTGTCGATTTGAATGCCTAGGTAAGCGATTTGTGACTAACCATTCGAGTGCCCATTTACCTTTATAATTGTTTTGATTCCGGCCAGCAGAGCTTGTGGCAAAACCAGCCGAGGAAAAGGTTTCATTATGGAAATTCAATGAAGATAGGGAAGCGGCGTTTGAAAAAATCCCGGGCTCACTTTCACTTTTACAGCTCCCTGTTGGCAAGGACAAGTGACCAGCCAACTGCAAAAGTTCAAGAAATCATATATTTCAATCATATCTTCTCCTGCCATGTTTTATTGTTTCAGAGAATATCTTGTTAGACTCACTTTATAGTAACCATAGATGGCGTCAATGCAGATGAGAGGGGCACCAGATTCTCCACACCAGCTGGAGGAGAAGGTGACACAAAGGGAATTCCGTGGGAATTGATACTCCCCAGTTACCTTCTCCTTGCAAATGGTTGGATCAACCACAGAGGCTGAATAGGTGAAAGTTTCTGCTGTACGAACACTCCTACCTATAGCGAAAGAAAAAATTGTGATAATATGAAGAGAGACGTACAAAGGGTAGCAAAGCAAAGTCTTCCAATAAATGCTGCAACCATTAATGTGACTGATGAGTTTGCACTGGGAAAAGTCTTGGAGACTTTGTGAATCTTGTGTGCACAGAATACATGATTCTTCATTCAATTCTACTGGCATCTCAAGCAACATCATCCCCAAGTCATTCTCAAGGGTTTCTTCTCGAAAACCGTGATGATTTATGTGTTTTCGTATGCTGCGGCGAAGAGGCGTCCCTGCTACTTGAACCGATAGGGATTCGATCTGATATTGACCACTGTGAACCAACAAAATAAAATAAAAATCATATTTTACTGGGAGGAATCAGTAGCCTATATATGTGGATTGTCTATCGATTCTGGCATCTAGTCCAAGTAGCTACAAGCTCAATATTATGCACTAATAGAAATACCTATTGCAACAAATAGTAACAAACATTATCCCGCCCTAATATTTTCACTCAAAATCTCAACTCTCACAAGGAACCAAATTCCGTGAGATATGAATTTGTAAATATTGCAAAATCACATTGAAAAATTTACAGGCAAATTAATCAGTTTCATCAAGTATTTCTCTTGCTACACATTATCCTTTTTTCAGTCAGACTTCGAAGCAAATTTTCCATTTAGCTCATTTATCGTAGCTTTTTATTCGTATTTTTTTTCTAACGGGTATAGGAATGCCGCCGGTGTTAATGCTATTTCGAGAAAGAAAGTCCCTTCAGATTACCTGCTTCATCACTTTTCCAGTCTCATCTCTTAACAGTTATTCCAAATATCCTAAAATTATATGCGTCATTCTCTTTCTGTATCGAATATATTGTCACTTATTTTTAAAAATGTGAATATTCATTCATTTTAAAATTTATTTATATGAGAAGTACTAACAGGGAAACATATATTAAAGAATTACTAATGTTCTTCATATTCCATGGAAATGTGCATCCAGATGTATAAAATACCATGTATTGAATCCTTAACGGGAATATGATCCTCTTTTAGCATGTTGTGTTTGAAAAAATACAATGGAAGAAAATGATTACATTTCATAGAGAATGCAAGAAGCGGTGGTTGAGACGAGGTGTCGCTCAACGACAGCCCCACTGCAAACGATTCCTCCTCCGGGATCCATGATGACTACATTCCAACAATAACGTCGATGAGTAGCACCGCTGCTTTTTTCAGCCCAACACACATCTTTTGTGAGTCTCGACCTTGGAATATCTAATCCTAAGGGAAAGACGACAACATGATATTGATACATGGGTAATTCCATAGTGACTAATATAACAATCGGACGCGGAGCACATATATATCTACTCAATATTCTCAGCCAGTTTTCATCCCTCCTTATCAATATTTTTCGTTCATAGAGATTTCATCCTGCACTTCCTATTCAGCGCTTCACCACATATAATTAACTCAAATTTCTGCCAGTGGAGTTCCATGAAGCTTGTGTGACTAACAAAACTGAAAGGAGAAGTCGATTCCCACATCAAATGTTCTTCATGATTGCTCTGAATTTAGAAATCTTCATGCAACCCAATTCACCATGTACCTTCTCCAAGTTATGTTCTAACAATATGCAATAATGGTCACATGTACATGATGTTTCTAAATAAAAAAGCCGACGTTAAATCAATCAAGCCGTTGTGACTGACATAACTGAGACTAACATAACTCCGCTCTTGATGGCTGCATTGCTTTCCCTTTAGAATGTTTGTTCTTAAATGGAAATCGTTCCATCGATGTTCGAAGAACTCGGAATACCAATCCATGGACCTCCCATCAGGAAAAATTATTTGAGTACACGCTCATATTTATTAAGGTATACCTACCGGGAACGTGTTGCATACAGCATTCTTTTTCCTCTCTCTCATTCTTCTCGTCCCGTTGTTAGATGTTTCCCTGTGCCTCACAAAAAAGACTTTATCCTTCCCTTTTCGAAACGCAATGTCTGCATGTTTTCCACAACAGAAATGCAATTTATATTAGCGTCTGAAATAAATGTTACTAAGTAATTTAGGGCTCGCACACGTAACAGGATTTGCGTCGACATCATATCTGTCCTTGGGTGTTTTATTTTCGTGTTATAATTATTAGCGTATAGTCGCCAACCTTTAAGTCCTGTGCACGTGCCACGTCAGGAAAATGCCTAATTTGGTTACTCAATTTAAGGTTCAGATTTTTAGAGATTAAAATTGACTGATTCCCCTATACAGGTCTTACCGACCCCAAAAGCATGAGGGGAATTCTAATGCTCACGCAGCATCAATGGGACTAGGTGATTAAAATGCTTCCAGTGGGTGCAACGCAACAGAAAGTTACGTCCTCTTTGACCCTCTTGGAACGAACTGTCAGGACACTGTACTTTGAGAGATGTAGTGATTCTGAAGTCTTGTTTTGCTAGTTATGATGAAGAGGTGATTAAATCGGGCATAGCCCGCACGAGAACATCTGAATCAGCGCGGAATTCCTGCTGCATTACACCCATAATTTGAAGGAATCATTTCAATTAAACGTTGCTCTGTAACAACGTTTTCGCCTATGCCTTAGTACATTTCTCATGTTTTTAAAGAGACGGTATGACATGCATAGTGTTTTCAACCCGTATTTTATCAAGGAAAATCTGACATTTGCATTTGGCATTGAGAAAATATATAATATTTAGGCCTACTTCTGACTGTGCACAGCGCTCAAAGGTTGGCGAGTGCACCCTAATAATTTTCAGGCAATGATATACTTTTTTCAGCGAAAGACTGGTATAATGCCATAACAACTCCCACTATACAGGTCAGCCCTATTTATACGTAACGTTAACATTTGGCTGATAATGAAATTTCTTATTCTCTTAGTTTCTCGGTTATCTAATTTCTCCTTCCCTCCAGCTGCTTACTTTACTACGATTTACATTGACTTACAAGGATATATTGGAGATTCTTTGCCAACATACCTTTACCTGATGATGGTCGTGAATAGAACTAGAGAGGTTTATTCACTGGTCATGTTAGTCACACTATCATGCTATGTTAGTCACGGCCTTTCTGAGCCTTGACATCGAGGTAACAAGAAGGCGAAATCTCCATTAGAAGGAGTAGGACCTGGGGTAAGAAAACATGTCAAGTTATTGGATATATCCCCATCAGGGATGCCATGAATGAAAAGTTATTCATTTTGCATCAATAACATATTACCATTTTTCTACCTTAGGCCTGGCTCATTGAAATTCATGAGAGAAGGAAGGGACTGTGCCTAATTATATCTGAAGATGATATAGCTCAGTGATAAGCAACCTTTTTTGACTGCGGATCGCAAGTAAACCTTTTAAGTTACTGGCGGGCCGCATCTATTTATGCACATCCATCTATGCCCCCCCCCCCACTGAATCACAGGTTTTATGCCTGCTGAGTACCATAATAAGTTTGACTTAGTAAACCCGGTACTAAAATAGTAGATGCTAATTATACGCAAAAAACTAATTTAGACATTTTCTCTTATATTTGGGCGAAGAACCAAACAATTCCCTTGCTCAGAGAGCGGTGGTGATATACTGACCTAGAAGAAAGTGAAGGGATATTTGCAACTGTGCGGAAATATAGATTTTATGTTTAATTTCAAGGTTCCGTTTCTCCGGTAGCGGGCTACGGAATCCTGGATCACAGAAGCGCTCTACTCCGGATGACAGATGACAGGGAAAAGAAATTCAATTGACGAAGCCCTGCGGGTTGCTCAACTCTGATGTAGCTCATGATTACATCGTTGTACATCAGGTAGTTCTGTTGTAATACGCAAAAACTAGCCCTGTAAAAGCAAGAATTTGATGAAAATGAGCATATCCAGGTGGTGACCTTTTAGACCATCGGCATTTCCTGTGGAGTAACTATTTTAACATGCTGGTCTGTTTTCCATATGTCGCTAATGTCTGTCTTTGGGTATATGCTCATAATATGCAATATCACCGTAGTTTTATTTTGGCCTCAGGGTTCACCTTAGCGTGGAATTACCCACACGGAAAAAAAAACATTTCCCAGCCAGACTTGGAATTGGTGAGAGTGATGAAGATTCGATTGAAAGAAGAAGTTGAAACGATAATAAACCAAAGGCATAAAGGTCTTAATGATGTTGCTACTATTTAATACATAAATTACATGTATAAGCCTATTACCTGGAAATTAAATTGCGAAAACCAACACGAATGAACCACAAATTCCTATTATTTTAAAGTTGTGGCGTGCAAACTTTTCAGGTCACGCCCCCTTACCATGCGTATATTCAGTCGGGATCCCCTATCCCCCTCTTTTCCCCCTCCATCGGTTCCCCTTCATCAGTAACTAACTGAAAATGTTTGCAAGTTGGTATGATAAAGGAAACACTGAATATATGGTTTTGTAGTGGAACGTTAACGTTCTTAAAAGCACTGCTGTTGAAATTAATACAACGCAACAAAATGCGTCTTCCTTGTTGTTGAAGTTGTTGAAACAACTACAGATGCCTGCAAACCATCAATGCATAGACTTATCGTGGCAGCCCTACCTGATGCTTATATGTAAAAACATTGGCCAGCGCAATTACTCTCAATTATTTATAGTAGTTTCATGATAATTGAATGTTTTACTAATTTATTTTGGCGATTTTAAAGCGTCATTGCTGGTAGCAATCAATCGTATTTTATTACAATTAAAACCTCACATAACACTAAGTATGACTGTTCTAATGTTCATTAATCCGATATTTTAAATAACTGATTAGAATATTTCATAGGTTTTTCCTTAGAATTTCCTGGCTTCATAGTGCTTCTCTTTATTTTCTCATTGTAAATTAATTAATGTTAAAACGCGCTAATTCCAAGAAAAGAGTTAATTTCACCACCTGTGAAATTTCACTCCCCTGTTCTAAAGCACTGTTGAGAATCATAGCAACCGCGTAATGATGGTTTCAAGTTTAGAACGGTCGTTTCCATGTAAAAATTTGGGAAATATTGTTGCCCTTTTCACATTTAACCGCATAAGTGCTAAAAATTCGAATTTCAGTTCCACAAGAAAATCGACTTATTTTCTTTACATAAAAATTCGTTACATGAAAGTCAATCATATTTTTTTTTCCTAAAGATGAAACAATTACGTTGGAAAGTATTGTAAAAATTGAATTCTTAATAATAAAAAATACAATACTCCAAACCCAATACTCACTTCGGCACAAGTTTTTCTTGGTGCTTTTATTCATGAACTGAAAGCATCATAATGAACACGGGAATTGATGAAAATCGGAGATATCTGAACAATAGATTGAGAGGAAGTAGTTTTTCTTAGTTTGGCAAGATACTTTTGTTTTTCTTATTCCAAGTATTTTAATGCTGTATCTCTGTCCACCACATGCTCCAAGAAAAGCTTGAGCAGCAGTGAATGAAGGTAAAAATGTAGTGAAGTACCTTTACAGAAAAAAATACGGACAAATCCCTCTAAGAAAAAGTTGTTGTTGTGAAAGAAAGCATTGTAGGTTTCAATGGTCGCATAGTATTCACTGAGTAAGTAAATATGAGAGGGTTATAAAATCAGAAGGAGCGCGAAACTCGAAACATGGACTTGCAGAATCTTGTAATTATGGTAACTTTACAGTTATGCAGAGGAAAGACAAATGGGTTGCGCTCATCCTCAGCACTTATAAGAATATTGGCACATAATAAGAGCGGCCTACTAATAAAATGGGTGTGAATTAAAAAATTTAGAAACGAAAAGCCAATGCTGACTACACAGCAGTCAGCAATCCATAGGACTGACCAATAAAGCTGTAAATTGGTATACCTATAGCTGAAACTTCCAGGATTTATGCAGCTAATTTTTTTTAACATTGGAGAAAAAAGCATTCAAGGTTGTGGAAAAGAAGATTCCGTTTTGATCAGTGCTCTTTTTTGGAAAAAAATATAGTAAAGATGATGAGCTTCAACATGTTGCTTATGAAGAGTTACAACCTTCACATTTGTTCTTGGCTGGCAGAAAACGCTCTTAAACGTATTCCGGAAGTTTGGATCCTGTGGAATATTTTAATGGGCAAAGGCAATAACTTGTACCAGGGCGTCCATATCGGGGAAGAGGGGCAAACTTATTGTCAGTATCATGCAGATGTTCCCAAGAGTATACGTTTGTTTTCAAATGCTCCTAAACATGACGAATTGACGTTTATTGAAAGGTTGGAAATGTTGTGAGTAATCGCTCCCAGATCTATGGCGAAAGAAGGCAGCATTTCTTCCTTTATTGCTATACCTATAGCTCCAGCTCTTCCTTAGAAAAATGAACACAATCTATAGCCATCGGACGTACCCATTGCCTCATGGCCCGCCTGGTGTCCGAAAAAAGCAGACCCCCGTCGATCTATCATTATCTCTTTCTGACTTAGACCACATCATGCTTTCTTCATTCAATCGGCAAGGAATCTTGTATGCTTTCACCCTCTACCCTGTATGATCATCTCGAGAAGCCTTCATGAACTGCCTAAGCTAGTCAACGATAGTCTAGGAGTCAGACTTGGAGGTATCGTTGGTCCCGACGTGTAGAATTCCCTCCATCAACTTGATTTCATCCTTTGATTTCCCTTCAATCACGATTTCATCGAACCTCAACAACATAATTTTCAACCTTGACACATACATCCTGAAAAAATGCTTTCGCAACCTGCGCCCAGTTCACGGATACGCAGGGCCACGGACCAGCGATGATCTCGTGTCTAGAGCGCCATCTGATTGGGTTCCCTTTCACTGCGATAATACTCCTCTCTCAGACTGATCAAGAAGTCTGCGAAGTCTCCGCAGTGCCTCCTCCACCCTATTGAGCGTCACAGCAACCACTTCCCACTCCACCTCCCCCCGGTCATCTTGAACCCTCTTATCTGATAAGTCTACCAGTAAACTTCTTTACTGGTCATCCAAGGCACAGGCGAAACAAATCTCATTCCCATAAGCCACACCTAATCAATTCCGACACTTAACGCAATTCTGAGCAATCCTTAATTTATTTAATGCTATTCGATGCTGCTGATACTATCTCATGTTACCTCATCTTCGTACAATTACCAGATATATCTACAAATACCCCAGCCTCTTAAAACCGCATTAAAATCTTGAGAAAAAAAAAAATAAAAAAGTGAAAAAAAGTAAACCGCTTTGTTCTCGGAGTTGACCAGAAAAAAAATTTCATCATATACATTCGTCAAGTAACTACCGCGCTAATTAAAGTGAATATCCCCCTTGCCCTCATGGATCAGTAGACAAGGACCTATTGTCCCACTTGAAGATAGACACTCTATCGCTGGCTCACGACCCGCGTCGTTATACCCATAAGGAACACGCCCTATTGCAAGGGGTGGGTTCATGGGTTGGAAACCTGCTTGAGTTACATTACTTCATTTCCATTTTCAAAACGAATCAGTCAGCCTCTGCATTTTATGATCAATGTTCGAACGATTGAACATAATATTTCAGTGTATGTGTTGATCCATATCCAAGAATTCTGAATTTCAATACGGAATGAGAACACCCTCGAAAGACCCAATCAACAGGAAAATTGATGGACTTGTGTAACAAAGACTGCCCCAACCCCCAAATTATACCATCAAGGAAAACGAAGGTTTTCTTTTTTAATCAATACGATTAGGAAATGGAGGTACCTTTGTTCGAGTCCACTTCATCCAGTCTCTTCTGGATGTCTGTCTTCGAGACACAACAACTGAAGGAGCTGGGACATATGTAAAGTTCGGTAAACTCCTTCTGTCCGCTGCGACTGCATATTTGTGAGAGATAAGGCGCCAAGCATTTCCCAATGGGATCTTCGCATTTTGGGCGGTCTAATGAAGTTGATGACGTTCCTGGCTTGCTCCTATCTGGGACAACCTTTGTCCTGCAACAATATGCACCTGTTTCTTGGCACTCTGTTCCATCTTTGACAGTATCTGACACACACGAATCAATATTGGTATGGGAAACGCAATGGTCAAGACAAGGAGGCAACGAAGGTGTTGAAGAGGACGTTTCGATGAGGCAGCATATTCTTGGGTGGCATGACGAATTTTGGATTTCTGTCCCAGGCTTGCACAGGAGAAGGAGACCGCGATCAAGGCATACATGGGTTAAGGGGCATGTTTGAATATTGGCGTTTTTAGAAAACGTTGCTAACCGGCAGCAGCGCTGATTTTCCGCAAGGCAGGTATGGGATGTAAGAGTGCCTTCATCACACAAGGACTCATATTCTTTTCCGATGCACATATAACCATCAGAGTTAGGACATTTTGGACTTGTCTGTGCTATCGCTGTTGCTCTCGTTGTGGTTCTCGTCGTAGCTCTTGTTGTCGTTCTTGTAGTCGCTCTCGTTGTCGCTCTTGTCGTCGCTCTCGTTGTCGCTCTTGTTGTGGCTCTTGTCGGTCTTGTTGTCGCTCTTGTTGTCGTTCTTGTAGTCGCTCTTGTTGTCGCTCTTGTCGTCGCTCTCGTTGTCGCTCTTGTTGTGGCTCTTGTTGTTGGTCTTGTTGTCGCTCTTGTACTTCTCGTCGTTACTTGCGTTATTGCTCTTGTTGTCGTAGTTGCTGTTGCTGCTGCATTTGGTATTACTCCTAATGTTGCTGATATTACAAGCTGATAACACAATTCGTCTGGCTGGCAGTTGCTTTCTATTGAAGAAATACCTTTTTCCCGGTCTACAGAGAGACTGGTATTGAGGAGCCACACATGCGTAAGGACATCGGTTGCACCTTTTTAAAGATTTCTTCTGACTGAGATATTTCAAATCTCCTTCGTAGTCACATGTCCCCTTAATCTTCTTCAGCAATTCTGGTGAGAATGCCAGCCAAGCCACATAGCAATCACACTGGATTGGGTTCACTAGAAAAGAACAAGAGCAAATGGGACCAATACTATGATGACAGGAATAAGTCTAGTAGCAGGTTTCTCAATCTCGTAAGATGGAAAATATGTAACTCACCCTCAAGATGGAGAAATGCTCGTCCCTGCAGCATTGTTTCAAGCATGGGTCGAAAAACGCCTTCATTTACTACAGCGATTTTATTCCAACTGAGATCAATTTCTGTGGCCCCTGTGTGACCTGTAATGGATTTAGGAATGTGCTGCAGCGCACGGCTAGAAACTTTAGAGAACTCCTTATTCGATCGGCTATGGATGAGGTTCTACTCTAGTTTTATGTAGCATCAAGGTTTCCTTTCACTGCATAAACAAATGTTATTCGCTACGGAGAGGTTATGATGTTTCCTCCGAGAATGATGTTAATGATTACTTGCTACCTGTCACCTTTGTCGAGCATTTCATTGAAAGAGGAACCTAACTCAACTTGCATTTTAGTATTTACAATTTCTTTCAACGTCTGCAATTGAATGAAATCCATTTAGCTTATTCATGAAATAATTAATAAAAAGAAATGTCATTCTGACAGGGTATCCCACAAGTTAGTTTGCGAGGGATTTTCAGTTAAATTTATATTAACCTAGGTTTGCTATTCTTTTAGTCAGGTATTGTTTTTCCTAATTGTGGATATTGTTACGCACATTCTTTATTTAATTCTGGGTGAAGATGGAGAGATAGACGATAAGGACCAGATACTTTTGGTCCCTAAAAATGTTAAAAAGTCAGAAATAAACTTTAAAATGGTGATTGCAGCTTTTCAGCATAAATTCCATGCTGAGAACCACCAAGACAGATCAGCAATTCAATTGCCTTCCCCATAAGTCCCAATAAACACTTCTATGAATAATGCAGGAAAAACGTGATACACCTATCACAGCAAGAACAAAGGAAAATAGACAACTTATGAGCGTGTTCTCAAAGTCCAAAGAAATCCCAAAAACGTGCATCACGTGAGCTCAACATACCCGGTAAAAGCGTGTGACGTAAACGAAATATGAACAGGAAGAACGCTGGTGTCCCAAAAGAATTTTCAAGTTCAAAAACAATGGGAATTTTTCCAAAAAAAATTGGAATATGCGTATGTATATCAATGCAAAAGAATCTTAGAAGGGAAAACAACCAGCAACTATAATAGTTGAAACGTTCAAATTATTCATTGGAGTAAAAGATGAATGAATGAAAAATATATAATACCTGTGATGGCTCCGTGCTCTAGTTTTTTAATGTTGTTCTCCAAAAGCGACACTTGCTTCAAGGCCCTGCTTCGGAACTCCATCAGGCCGCTTGCGAGAGTGGGTCCTAGATTGCAACCTGAACATGACAATTTTTCGAGTTTCCCCAAGCTCTTGATGATTTCGGTGGGAAATATAAACTGGGGATTGTAACCTGCATGAAAAGAGTGAAGGAGAGGGTTGTGAAATAACATTCTGCTGATGTGCTAGCACAATAAATTTATTGTGAGGAACGTAGCATAATTTATTGGGGGGAATCTGCCATGTTGTATTCATCTGAAAAGTGAAATTCTACAATGTCAATAAAAACAGATTGAGAAAAATTCACGCCAAACGTCTGCCTCATAGCAATAATTTATGGAAAGAACAATATGTTGCCGGAAAAAATTGTCCTCAGAGTAGCATCCTTTATTTTGCACTAGCTTGAAATGTTAAAAAGAACTTTGATGTATCCTGAAAAATCCTCAACAATGTCGAAAGTGCATTTAAAAGAGGAAAGAGCAACGATGCATGTGTATGCATGTTTTAGAAAGTGACGAATAGAGATCCCATAAACTTGTTCAGATAATCATATGATAGTAGATTGTTGTTTGCTCACTGAAGTCTAGTTCCCTCAGGTTCGGAGTCGCCCATCCATATTCCTCCACTCTTGTGATGCTGTTGTAAGGTACGTTCAGTGTTGCGAGGCTCTGGCTCTGAATTGCAGGAACTGAAGTCAGGGAATTATTCCAGATCGAAAGAAGCCTGAGACGGGTGAACCACTGAAGAATGTGGAAAGGAAAGCTCTCCACGCGACTGAATAGGATTATCACTGTCTCCAGAGTGTCCTTGGATGGGAGGAGAGCAGAAGGATGGATACTCCTCAAGGCTGTGTAGTTCACCCATATTTCCTGGAAGGACAGATCCAGAAAGACTTCTTCCGGAAGATCTTGAACCCCAGAATTATCTATTAAAGCAAATTGCCTGGAAAGAAAAAGAGGGGCTAAGGATGTATTGAACACACCATATCAAGTCCGCAAACGTCTAGATGCATGTCCCACTATAAGCAAAATATAGTAAAGTATTAGACAAATGTCTAGAATCAATGGTATATTTGATTATCTACCTAGTAGTAAACCGGGAAATACAAAAAACGCATCGCTCTTTGAAATTTATTGGAGTTCATGGAACAGAAGATAGCGCGGCAAATT